AATGGCACTGCTAATGAAACAAAACGCACCGACAGAAACATTGAAAAAAAGAAGTGACTTTTTACATTTATTATTGAAAGTAGATAGCCATATGTTTTACATCACACTGATGTGTCATTCCTGCACAGGTCTGTCAAGGGTCCTCAGGGCTTGTACAGGTTGTACCATCTGTGATGGCAATTAGAGAAGTGAAATGTGCTTGCATTGTATATTTGCCTAAATGCACTGAGAGCAGCTGCAACATCATATGCTACGACATTCTTACATCTGTCTCAGACCCTCAGGGCACTGCAAGTATTGGTAGTTTTTGCGCATTGTGTTTGTTGCGAGGAAATATTGAGAGATTTTTCTGCTCTTTTTGTGGAAATGTATTGAGTGCATGTTAACATGTTCAACCATTATCCTGTGGCCACTAATAAACCATGTTTTATTCAGGTACTTGGCCTCTCACCGAGTTGTTCCATGTACCACTCTACGGGGCATTTTTTTAACAGCACCAATTGTTTTTAAATAAAGGGGGAAAGTTATATGAATGTGGTTTGCACTACGTGTTTATACGGTTTAGTGGACATTAGACGGGAGTATAACCATCGCTATTATCAGACTAATTAACTAAAATTTGTTAATTAAATTTTTAATTACTGCAATTAGCATATATGTTTATATTACAAAGTTTGAGACAGTTGTATGCCAAGACTGTTTCATTTTGTAGAATTGGCGTAACCAGCCCGTGTTCCGAGATATCTGCCCTCAAATTTTCTACTTAATCTGACTTTTTCACTCAATCCGGGAAACTCTGGGAAAGGGGCTTTCTAGCTGAACTTCGGTACATTAGCCGGATAAAAGTGCAAAGTTTGGGGACGAATATTATGGGTTACGGGCTGGTTACACAAAATCTACAAAATATAAGTTTTGGCATACGACTGCCTCAAAGTGGGTTATGTAAACATGTGTCCTAATTAGAGTAATTAGAAAGTTAATTAACAAAGTTTAGTTTATTAGTCTAATAGTGATAGTTATATTCCCATCTAATGTCTGCCGAGCCATTTAAATATGCTGAAAACTGCATTCATATTACCTTCCCCCATTTATTTAAAAAATTTGGTGCGGCTAAAAAAAGTTTTGTATATTCAAGCCTTTGAATCGCATCGAGTTTTTGTGTGGAGTCTGGTCGGTGACTAAGACAAAAAAAAGTGAATTGATATTTGGCCTCGTGAATTGACTCTCTCTGATAGCCCGCTCGCTTTAGCAGGCGCCCGCAGTTCAAGCCCGCTCGCTCAAGATTGTTAGTCGATCCCTGCTGCTGAATTTATGTGCTCACACCCATTTCTTCAAAGTAGATTATGTTCCTATATGCTCATTTCCTATTCACTTGAGAAGTGAAGTATGCATAAAAAAAGTAATATATCAGCTGTGAGCAGTGACAGAAGGTAATGCAAGGGTGTGGTATGTAGAACATATCCCACAATGAACATCTCCAATGTGTACACCTTCCTAATTTGAAGTCCAGATACACTGTATTTTGGGGAGTGGGAATCCTCAGCCCTATATGCCCCCTCCACGCCACTTGGCCACACCCCAGGTAAGTGTGTGAACAAAGAATAAATGTAAGAAGGGGCGACATATGCAGCTCTCACTACCTCTAAAAGAAGCACACATGTCCAGTCTGTTCTTTTTTTTTTTTTTTCTTTGTACCTTAATTAATTACCTTTGCATTTTAAGTGTAGGAGACACGTGCACGGGTTAAACGTTTCACTAAGCTGGTTTTTATGGCCTTGCTAAAGTATGTCGGGCACTGATTGGCTCAAAGATGAGTTTCCTGTGAGCTGTAGAGCAGTTAACTGCCACTCTGAAGCTTTCCAGATTCCTTTTCGAAGTTTTTTTTCATCCACTGGTGCCTTCATGTCGTGGTAGATGAGCAGCCCAAAAGGATAGTAGCAGGAGTCGAAATGCTGGAATGAAAATTAGTAGAACATATTTACTTAGCATACTTATGTATGGGGTATATGAGGGTTGGCCCAAACTGTGGCTCTTCAGCTGCATACATACAGCTGAACTTCATTTTGACACATAGATGTGTTCAGTGACTGTTTTCTTTGCAGTTCTAGAAAGAATTTCGAACCGTATATGCGTAACGTGGCTGGCTAGCGAACCATGCATTTATTTTTGTTTGCGGTTAAAATTTTGCTGGCCGGTGTTTTTTGTAGGCGACAATTATACTTGTCCCCTTTGAAAAGGACATCCCTCCATATTGTTTCTTGTTAAAATTTTCCCCCTCACCCCCCGCTCCCCCCCCTTTTTTTTTCATCTGCGGCTCTCTGAACTTTTGTAGTTTTGTCTGCGGCTCTTACCTCATGCCACTCTGGCTACCCCTGGGGCATATAAAGACAAATGAACCAATTGCACTGTGCTAAGCCACAATCATTTGCAGTGACGTAGCCAATAGGAGGGTTTTGGGGATTGAAATCCTCCCGAAATGATCTCGCCTTTTCCACTACATTTTTCACACGTAGCTAAAGAAAAGAAAGAAAATTCCTTCTTATCCAGCTGATCATTTGCATTGGCCAAAGCTGATGGGTTATCTACGATTGAACACCGTTTCATCGAAACACGTTTTAGAGAATGGGCATGTTTTATGGAAGCTCGCTTTAGAGAAAGCAGAGCCTAAGTTTAGAGAAACGCCATTTATTGGAAAAGGGGGAAGGCTAGTGCACAATTCACTGAGGCTTGTTCCCAAGCGTTGCCCCCTCCCCCCGTAAACCAGGCAAGACCCAAAAAGTTTTGTGTTGCCCCCTCCTGAATTGTGTTTATAAGAATGAATTCACTAAAAGGAGGCTCATCGCAATTTTCTCTAAACTGGATTTTTTTATAAAAGGATTCCGTAAACGTGCGTGCGCTAGCTTCGGTAAAATGGATGCCTTTGCTGCCATTGCTTGTTTATGTTTACCTGTACTATGTTTTGTACTTACATGCAATGTTGTCAAAGCTGCGGGCAAGCATCCATGGGGTTTGATCTCTCAGATTATTTGCTTGCGTTCTCGCACAAACAAAACCGTAGATAAAGCCGTGTTTTTCAAAGTGCAACACTGTCCACAAGTCAAACTTCTAACTTTATTGAAATTTCAAAGTCAAAATTGAGTATCGACAAAAGTTCGCAAGCCTCCCAGGGCAAGGTAAAGCTGAAATTTCGCAGGTTTCCCGAGTGAAAAGGCCTTTCTACTGGCGGAAATGCTGTCACAGCGCATGGGGAGCGCTCACTTTCTGAACACGAGCAGTTAAACTTTCCTACACGACAATTTGTAATGAGTGCATTACTAGAAGTATCTTTGGCCTGCTGCAGCCCAGTAAAATGCAGTTGCATTGATTTATTTTAAAAAGGCAATAGAACCTGCTGTTACCTCCTGCTTTGCAATTTTTTATTACTAAACACATATTCGATTCGATATTCGAAGCCCGTTTTTTTTTTTGTCTTATTCATATTCGAATCAATGCAGATTGTTGGGCTAGTTGGTATACTGGGAATTTGACGTCATGATGGCGCTTAAGACGAGGACAAGAGGGAGACTAGACAACACAATCGTATTCGATTCATTATCGAAAATTTGAATATTCGCACACCCCTACTTATAATCTTTTAGAAAAAACTTGATGCCTAATGCTGAATTCATTGCACTTATGATACATTTTGCTACATCCTTCAATTCGTCCTCATTCAGTACAGCACATATGTTTCTGTTCAACTTTCCAATGTTTCCTACCCATTCCAAAAACAAGATATCCATTGCAGTTTTTTTTTTTTTTTTTTTATGCTGACATAGGTAAGACTGCAATCCGTCCGGACTTATCTGTTTCTAACAACTTTAAGAACTTTGTTTGCAACTCCCTCTTAACTGCATTGACTTCTCTGAAATTTCTTTTGTCCTTTGGGTATGTTACATCCGTTACTTTTTCCATCCTACTGATTGCATGATCTATGAAAGCGACCTTTTCTTCTGGGTTGACCATTCTGGCTACAGTATGAATGGAAGACAACACATCAATCCTCAAAGGCTTCAAATTCAAACAACACTTCGGTCCCTTTGCTAAAACTTCCTCTGCCCTCGGTGATAATGCTTCGTTACAATGATTGACAACACTCAGCCGGGGCTTACACCATTCAACAGATCGAAACCACAATTTCGAGCTACCATTAACATGAGACCTCAAGTCTTTGATGCTGTCTAGGACATGCCTTCGCTTCACATCCCATAGTCGGTCAAACAGAGTTCTTCTGGTGCTGCTCCAATGGTGGTATTCATGGTAGTGCTTGAAATTATCTCCCAGGAGAAGTGTCCAAAGTCTGTCACACGCACCTCGGATGTCCTCGATCCTCCTGCTGGCTCCGTTCCAGTAGGCCTTGATGATCTTTTTGTTTGCGTATCACGGAATACTCGATGAGGACAGATTGTTCTGGATCCACGAAGTTCTTGCGAAGACAGATGCCGAAGAAAGCCACATCCGCTTCTAACTCTGCCCGTCGACGTCCCAGTTTATCCAAAACCGCGAAGGCTTGGAAAATTAGTTTAGTGTGCTTGCCGGTGGTGACAACGTTGGACCATAAGAAAAGGGACTAATCCTACTTCTGGGATGATCATAGAAAAAATCGTAAGGGTGCAGGCGAGCTGGTGAATATTGACCATGTTGAATCAACCTGAGACTGGGGTGGAGAAGAAACAACAAAGCGTAGAAGGGACAGAAAATAGACAGAAGAACGTCTCAAACTCAGCTAGCTCGTTTATTTAGTCCACCTCCTTATATAGTCTCAATCTCGAGGTTCATCTCCACCAACACAAAAGGACAAAGTCTATACAGTTCAAGCGCCAGTCTCCATCACAATGCAAGAACGTTAACAAACTTTACAGGTCACACAATGCAAGAACATTGACAACCTTTACAGGTCGACGCGATAAAGGAACATCCATCCATTTTCAAACTCTCTTCCTTTTTTTTTTTTTTTTTGAGACGTCGTCGTGTCTATTTTTTGTCCCTTATACGCTTTAATATTTCTTCTCTACCCCAGCTTCAGGTTAATTCAACATGGTTATTATTTACCAGCTCGCCTGCACCCTTACAATTTTTTCAGTAGACAGGTTGCACTGTTCTGTTGAGTAGCAGCTATGACAGTTGAATTTCCCTTAGCCTTAGGCCTGCAAATGGAACAATGGATATCTTTAAAAATATAATCTAATATCTTCTACTGCTGTTTTTGTATTGGCAATGATCTTTTTACAGTGCAAATATTTATATGCAGAACATAAATATTTCTGCAACAAAACCATAAAAATTTCATGTGCCACACAGAATATGGAATGCGAAAAACACTGCAAATATCTACCCTACTCGAGGCTCTCAAAAATAATGCCTTCAGTTTCATCAGAGGGTGTAAAACACAAGTTGATGCTTCAAAAGTGTCTCATGTGCAAACCGCCTCCACGACTGTTATGTGATAAGTGTCCCTCATGAGTGGCACATCTTCTGATGCGACGCTAGCTCGCTTGCCCGTGTGAACACTCCCCCACACAGGCAGCACTTCAACGGTTTTTCCCGCGTGTGGGTCCTCTTGTGTCGTATAAAAGAGCTCCCGTCTCCAAAGGCCTTGTGGCATGTCTGACACTTAAACGGCTTTTCACCCGTGTGAATCCTTTCGTGAAGCCGTCGGTGGTCCTTCCGGATGAATGCTTTAGGGCAGAAGCTGCAGCGGAAGGGCCTTTCTCGGGTGTGTGTTCTTTCGTGAATGGTCAACGCATCACTCCTCAAACTGAAGTAAGGGCAGAAACGACACTTGTGCTGGTCTTCCCATTGTTGGCATGTCTCCTGCAGCTGTCCGCTGGACCAGTCTTGAGAATTACGTTTGGTCCCAGTGTCTTTGCAGCCAAAGCCTTCAACCCGGGCATTGACGGCTCCCATGGCAAGACCTGCTGGGTAGACGTGTCATATGTGATTGAGCCGCCTTACATTTTCATCAATTCGAGGTACAATGCAGAATTCAAAAATGCCAAAGTTTACCCAAGTCATTGACACTGTAGTAGTGGGAGACAAACTTAGAGACGTTTGACAAGGTATTTACTTCGTATACATTTTTTCTAAACTGCCCCAAAATATGCAGTGAATGAATCATACTTGATCAAATGGAACAGAGGCTACGAAGCCGCCAAAAGAGAAAATCTTTTACGGTGCCGGAATTCTAACTCCAGGTCTCCCAATATTTGGTTGGGCATGATAACCACTACACCATATTGCCGTGACTTTTCGGTGCCTTCTATCTGTCTTATTGATGCGCCAAAACAAAATGTTTCCAATGATAGGTATTCTGGATGCGCACGCTGGCACGTGGAGCGTGGTAAAACACTTGCTGGCATGTGGCACGTCCTTGTGCTGCAGAAGCCCTCTCACGTTTTTCCTGTCATATGCACATGCATTGTTTCCTGTTAAGAGCTTAAAGGGGCCCTCCGGAGGTTTCTGAGATTGTCTGTTTATGTTGTTATATTGCGTACTAGGTTCAAGTTAATATGTATACAAATTTTTAGATTACAAAACCGTTTATTAAGCAGATGGCAGTAGAAATATATCGGGACTATTTTCTCTTGGAAGACAATTCTCCATTCCCTACCCATCGCTAAAACTTGACCAATGGAAATGCTGCATCTCGCGGTGAATGCGAACATAATTTTGCAACACTTTTTAAGCTTGTTGTAAATTAGTGTTTAAGAAAAACATAAACTGATTGTGGTGCGGGAAACATAGTCCGCAATTATCGCTCCAAAACCAGCGAACTATGTTTTCTCCCCGCAAGCTTGTTGCTAGGGGGTGATGCGTCGGCGCGTCAGCTCGTCTGCTTCCCAGGGCGTGTGCAGCAGAGGTCGGCATTTTAGGTCGCCCTCACTCACCCTCACCCTCACAGCCACACTTACCTAAGCCCCTCACTCACCCTCACCCTCACAGCTACACTCACCTTCAGCCCCTCACTCACCCTCACCCTCAGTCACACTCACCTTCAGCCCTTCACTCACCCTCACTGAACCTCATGGCCCTCACGCACTCACCGCCCTCACGGCCCTCACCGCCCTCACGGCCCTCACGCCCCTCACTCACTCATGGCCCTCACGCCACTCACCGCCCTCACGGCCCTCACCGCCCTCACGGCCCTCACCGCCCTCACGGCCCTCACGGCCCTCATTGCCCTCACAGCCCTCACGCACTCATAGCGCTCACGCCACTCACCGCCCTCACGGCCCTCACCGCCCTCACGGCCCTCACGGCCCTCACCGCCCTCACGGCCCTCACGCACTCAAGCGCTCACGCCACTCACCGCCCTCACCGCCCTCACGGCCCTCACCGCCCTCACGGCCCTCACGCCACTCACCGCCCTCACGCCACTCACCGCCCTCACGTGCCTCGCCGCCCTTGCGGCCCTCACACCCCTCACGCCCCTCACGCACTGATGGCCCTCACGCCACTCAGGCCAGCTTCAGATGGGGCAATTTCGCCCAGAAACTTTACGTCGCAAAACCAGCAACACGGGCCGCCCGCGATCACACGCAGCAACGAATTGCTGCAATTTGATATCGTCATCATAAAATTTTATTTTTCTTGCACTATTTAGACACAATTACGCGTTATAAACGTGTTTTTATGCATTTAAATCTCGTTAAGAATACTAATGCACCTTTCTGAAACAGTTTATTTCCAAAAAAACGATCGATTTCAAACCAGAACCAAGTCTTTCGGTGTCATCATCACCTGCACGAGGTATCACGTGAAAATTTTGCGTCCCTGATTGGATGCAGCCGCTTCAAACGCATTCGAATTGCTCCGAGTTGCATGGCCCTCACGGCCCTCACGGCCCTCACGGTCCTCACGGCCCTCACGGCCCTCACGGCCCTCACGGCCCTCACCGCCCTCACGGCCCTCACGGCCCTCACGGCCCTCACCACCCTCACGGCCCTCACGGCCCTCACGGCCCTCACCGCCCTCACGGCCCTCACCGCCCTCACAGCCCTCACGGCCCTCACCGCCCTCACGGCCCTCACGGCCCTCACTCACCCTCACACTCATGAATTTTCCTGGTTCAGAAACTCACTCACCCTCACCTCACCTGTGAAGATGAGGGTGAGTGAGGGTGAGTGAGGGCCCTCATGAGTGAGGTTTGCCGAGGTATGGTGTGCAGGCGTGCGTTTGCGACACACGTGTTCCTTCTTCCCGTGGATCCCGACTCCGAAGCCAGCTTTGCGATCCTTTCACGTCAACGAGTCATACTTTTCCTTGTCATCTGTGGAATGCGACTGCGTATTCCAGTAGCAGCGCGACGGTGCGGTGCGACGAACGACGACTGCCGAGAACAAAGTCCGGGCCCCTTGACGACAGTCCGCGCGTGTTCGAGAGATTCCTCCGCAGGCCGGCGGTCGGCCGCGTTGGTGACGCGCAGTGACGCCGGAATCCTTCGTTTGCTATTAGCTGACACGTAAAGAGATGCCCCTCCCGTTTTCCGGGGTCATCTCAGAAAGGGGGGCGTGCCGGGGACTTTGAAAGCAATTTTAATAGGGAAATCCACCGCGCATGACCGTAATTTTATGATTTTTAGGATTCTTGGGGCCTGTAGATTGAGTTACCGCTATAAATAGATCATCGCAGAACGCTCCGGAGGGCCCCTTTAAAGGGACACTGACACCCCCCCCCAATATTTTATTTATTTTTTTGCCATGCGATCGATTATGGTGTCAGAAGACTACCCAATCAATATTTTGCTACAATGTCGCATAAATGTTTAATAAAGTCGAAAACGCAACTGCTTGAAACCGAAACCAAACTGAGGAAGACGACGAATTATAGAGGAGGAGAAAGATACTGGAAGTCACGTGGCTGTGCAACTTCTTTTCATTCAACATATTTCCAGCTTTTTAGAAGCCACAAAATATGGGTATCATATTTTTTGTCCATTTCTAGTATTGAGTGTGTGCCTTCGATGACCCACAACTTTGATTACCTATGATGGTTGTGTCTAAACCATAGAAAACGGCATGTGACCGCGGAGAAGAGAGTGAGTGTGACTCAAACCGGCCAGTTTTCGATCGGCGGTTTTTGGGTGGAAAGAAAAAGAAATTTCGAGCTGCAAATTGTGTTCTGGGTAGTTGGGCTCTCATATGTCATGTACAAATAAAAACCTTGGCAAACATAAATACCCGGTCTGCGTCCCTTTAAGAAACACGGTATCATCATCTGCGAAAATCGAACCATTTTTAATATATCACGGAGCACTTTCATCACCTTATACAATCTCCAAAAAGAAAATATGCATACGAATGAACCATGCTTCATTGAATGAAACAAAGGTTACAAAAGCCACCAAAAGACTAAATCTTTGGCAGCACCACATTCTATGCAACCACATGCTAGTGATGAGTTTGCATGTGCGTCCGGAACACCTCCGATTAGATAGATTTTGTTTCAATGCATTAAAGGAACACCGAAAGGAACATTGAAATATAACTCACGTTAAAAAATAAGTTAAACATGATCAACGAAATCTGCTACTGATGATCACACATTTGTATTTTGAACAGATGGCTATATTATTTTAGTTCCAAACGGCCGATTTCAGTGAGCACTCGACAAGCAGTCATTGGAGAGTGCGATGCATCTCGGGAGATCTGGCGCCTCTAGCTTGTTTCGTGATGTCACGTTTGACTTCAACAGGCAAGGCTACTGGGAGGCTGGTGTGGTTGTGAGCTTCGCCACTTGATGGTGTCAATGCGTTACAATCTGGCCGATGACTGGATCTGCACTGCTGCCGAGGTAAAAAAAAAGTGGCTCATTTGCACTTAAGACTCCCCCTCTCACCGCAGGAGTTGAATAGGCACGGGAGAGAAGAGAAATCCAGTTGGACCAAAGTTAACAGCCTACGCGTGCTCGGAGCTCAGCGCTGTACTTTTGCAGAACGGCGCTGCATACGAAGTTGAACTTGGGTTGCCAAAGGCATGGTAGCGCTTTTTTGGACGAGGACAAAAGAAAGAAAGACAAGTTGAACAGAACAACGTTCGGGAACATCTACCAGGTGCAATATGGTAATCAAGTTATTCATTTGAAATAATGGTTTGGTATCTTTCCGAACAAAAAAATTGGCATCTCTGTGGTGTGGCCAGAATGTGGTTCACAATTAGACAAGAAAATAGGCGCTAGAATTTCGCTGCTGTAACCTTTTATTAAGAGAGATAAAAAAAGGTGAAGAAAACCGGGTGGTGTGGTGTAGTGGTTAGCACGCCCAACCGGATATTGTGAGACCCAAAGTTTGAGTCTCAGCACCATCAAACATTTTCTTTTGTTGGCTTCATAACCTTTGCTCCATTCGATCATTCATCAACATATTTTAGAATATTTCCTCTTTAGAGACCGTGTAAGATGACGAAAATGCCCCGTTTTTACTAAAACACCATATACAGCAGTCCAACTACCTAGAAGAAAAAATTTTTTTGTTTAACTATGGTCATGTGCAGTGATGACACAGTGCACAGAATATTTCCCAAATTGTAGGTCACCTATAGGGCACACATCCGGTTTTACAACAGAGTCCCCGAAACGTAATATTGATGACCCCCAGGAATGCCACGATTTAAAGAATCTTTGAGCATGCAGTCACGAGCGGTAACTCCGCGCATCATACGCCAACTTCTATAGCTTTCATAACGAGCTCTTGATTACCGGTGTAAGGGCAGAAACTGTACTGGTCCTCGACCTCCGATTGCTGGCGTGTCTCCTGCTGCCAGCCACTCAACCCATACTTGAGAGAAAATAGCTCGCTCCCGGCATCTCCGCAGCCAAAGCTCTCGGCTTTGTCCCTGGTCGCCCCCACGGCGAGACCTGCTGAAGAGACATGTCAGATTGGACTGAGCCGGCTCTGATTTACTACAAGAAGTAGCTTGCAGACCGTGGCACTGCCAAAGGTTATCCGAGACCTACAAGGTGCAGTAGTGGAAGATAGACATTAACTTTAGAATTAATTCGAGGCAATCTTTAGCATACGTCACTTAAAACTTGTGGTCACTTGTGGACCTTCTATAGCTGAAAACATTACCACCGAGGCATTCATTGCCCAGACTGATTTATTTACTCGTGATACCCCCAAGGCCGGAGCATTACAGAGGGTGTAGAGATTTGGGAATACAAACAAAATTAAAAGTTGGTACATAGGCTCAAACCATGAATAACATATAGCTAGTCCAGCCTTAAACCTATCGAAGTCTCCGATTGTCACTGTAGAAGTGGGAAGGCGGTTCCAATCATGAAAGGTTATGGGGACAAAAAAAATGTAAAAAGAGGTAAAATTACATCTGGATATGCCAACTTTGTGTAATGTGCAACCCGGATTGGTGTATATGAATCAATTGCACTTTTAAGCACTACAGCCGTACGAGCGATTGACTACTTGAAGTGCAGAGTTTCTACTGGCGGTTTTCAATGGCTTAACCAATGAACGAGCATTACAGTGAATATAATAGATGTAGCCAGCTTATGGGCATATACACGGTTTGCAGCAATATGCATGGCAATATCTGGTCGTCTACTAAGAGTAACGTATCACCCTACCAATGGGAATAAAACCTATGCCAAATCAAACGCCACTTAGAAAACAAAATTCACTATTTGCCGTGAAAGGACAAGGTAAGGGTACAGCGATCTTTACATATTCTATGCAGCAACTGAGCGAAATATCACAGGTAACAGATGTACCGCAACGACGGCGTTCACATGAAAAAAAGTCGCAATGGGCTGGATCGGGTATGTCTGTCTACAGATGGAATTTTGCTATGTCTTCAACACGCCAAATCCAAATGTGATCAAAATGTTGCAAACGGCGACACATCCAAAGTTCTGTGTCGGAAAAACGCCGTTGGTGGTGAAGCCTCAATAGTGGCAGTGATGAGGCATTTTCTCGACTTTCTTTGAGACAATGCCCACACTATTCGACCTGCATGATTTATAAGAGAATGAATGTACGAGAGTTGCTCCCACAAAGCGTGCTCATTTAGGCTTATTTTATAAAATAAAACTGCACTGGTTATGCTCAAAAATGTTAGTCAGTACAGACGTCGACCATCATGGAGTGATGTCCCACTACAAAACTTACCTAGGCATAACGAAATAAAATATATTTTTAAAAAACAGATTGCAATTTGCTGCATATACTGTAAACGACTTAATTTTCGTGGGCTCAAATTTTCGCGAATCGAGTGTAGTTTCCGTAGCGTTCACATATTGCCCGAACTGCTCGCGGAACGTATTTTTCGCAAATTGTACGCGATTCGCGAAAATGAATGAATGAATTTGGAGCTTTTGGTGCAGCAGCAAATCGGACCATAGTGCGCTCGCGAAAATGAGGTCCTCGCGAAAATTGAGTCGTTTACAGTATTTAAAATATTTGCTGACTGAAATGCCTGTAATTCCCTTCATTTTTTACACACATAATAGTAGAGAAAAATAGTAGAGAAAAATAAAATCCTAAGATTCCTGGAGACATTTAGGTTATTAAAGAATTCTGAATAGGTCACGTGGAAAAACGTGTCAAAATGTCCCACATATTGTCAAAAAGCAGCAGTTTAAAATTTTTTAAAGAAAGTTTAAAATCAAAATTTAATGAATGTGCATTTACACCCGCTTCCTTTTAGAGATTCCCCCCAAAATGTATGTGTCACACTAGAAGTGATAAACTTGAAAACCGTGCCCGAGCCAAAATGAAGACACCAATATGAATACAAGCATCTCTGCATCCGCCCACTCAAAATACGAGAAACCAGTCAATGATGTAAAAAGGCAGGGACAGTAAACACAAATCAGTTGCATGAAAAACATGATCATGTAATTCAAAACAGATTTGTGTACCCAATCCTCACAAAGCTTCCATCGTGAACTGCTTCTGCATAGCTCATACTTTCTGGTAGCAAGCAACAACAGCCAAACTCTATCTTAATATTTTGGAGGTGCTATGGAATCTGGTAGTGCAGCAGCTGCTGGTGCATTACCACAGGGGTGCCCCGGCAGTTCGAAACTTCTTTCCATTGTAGCGACGTTCTTCGAGGGGTCTCTGCATCAGGGGAAAGTCTACAAAATCATACAGTACTCAATGAAACAAGCACTAGTGTACTTCCAGTACAGGAATTTAGCATGAGCACAATCTTTCACACTTTTCCGTTACAAACACCTCAACTGCAGCACACCAGTTTCATTGATTCAAAAGGATTACTGTAATATCCCGAAAGATGCCCCACCTTCATAAGATAACCCACCTCTGTCTTTGATACAACTTGCTGGTTCTTCAAAAACACCAAAAGATAGCCCATTGCTAGTAATTGCAGTGCCCTGGCCAACGGTGACCTCTGCCGAAATCAGGTTAGGTAGCTACGGTGGGAGGTAAGCATACAATGCTGACAGGGAACGACAGTTGTCTATGCTCTAATGCCCTTCAATGTGAAGACAAATTAGGCAGGTTACAGAATACAAAAATAGCATTTTCAAAACCTTTTTTGATCACACACCGAAAGTTAACCCACTCCTCATTTCCACCCGATTAGCTCTCGCTTTCAGGTGGGCATTCTCTCAGGATGTTACGATAAATTCAAAAGTTATCAGTGATTTTTTTTCATTTTCAACATGCTTCGATTGGTTCTATTGCACCAGACTGTACCACACCAATTTGCACTTAAATGTTTTTTTTTTTTTTTCCAGCTATACTGTGTTACGATATATAACCGCACAAATCTAAATTGTTGAGCGTGAATGAGAAGAATCTATGGGGCGGCCACACTTCTATGAATCTATTTACACTATGACGACGATGTTAGTACGACAGTTACGCCATAACCTAACGCACGAAAGTTCCGAGAAAGTAGGCATACTAAATTTTGCAGCAATATGTTAAGAGCAGAAGTGTCGAAAACTGGGCTATAGTCACTCGCAAGGTGAGAACGGCAGGCGGGAGCTTCAGCTGCTCCGCCTCCTGCACTTGCTTCCAAGCTTTAAGAATGCTTCAGCACTTCGAGCACATAGGCGCAGCCCAACCGTAGCGGGAGGCACGGAGGGCATGCTGGAGGCCGGCCGTTCGCAAGACGTGCCCTGACACTCTCACTCTGTCAGCAACTATAGTTGGTGCTGATTTGCTATAAAAAATAGTTCAGGGACAAGAGGTAAGATGTGCAACAGACAAACGCTTTTGTCTGTTGTACGGGCTGTTCTTTGCTAAAGGGACGGCACTTGAGTCTAACGTACAGCTGGAGAGCCGTGGAACGGCACTTCGGACGACACATTATGATAAGGGGTGCGACCACATGCCTTTGGGGAATGAAGAAAACCGTAGTTGAAAAGCGAAGAAATGTCTCTCTTGATGGCACTTAGTAATAACTGGCTCATTTAAACAAAATCAAATGAGCATTCATATTTGCAGATCTTAAACACAACATCCTGCAGTATGCGGCTTCACTAAACTCGGCAAAGTCTTCTGTAAGGGAGTCTAGAATAGTTCAATCGCGTAACATTGTTTGGAGGAAGCACTTGACGTAGGCTGAAATGTCTCTCCGTACGACAGTGTTGCGTCTATCTAAGCATGAGCAACATTTTCTAAACAGTACTCTTGTCTGTTTAATGGATCGGTCCTGGCAAGCAAACAAGGAACCGACACTGCTCGCCAGAGTAACAAAAGCAGCGTCCCGACGACCCAACCGCTCTGTGAATGTAAATACTGTGCCATTAAAAGGTTCATTGCTTGCAAACTTTTCACATTGCAGCTTTACAGAATCTTTTGTCGCCAGATATAAGCTTCTCCTCGAGCTTTACGTGTTTGTATAATGTAATTTATATATCTATTCCCAATATTTGCCAAAATCCTGTCACCGCAAAAAACGAGCCATTTGCAGTCGTCTTCCATTGTCGGTCGGTGTTGCTCAAGTGAATGAAAGGTTGGGAACAAGGTGTACCTGGCATGTGTTTGTTGAGTACTCATGAACTGCAATATTTAATGTGCTTTGTAAAGTTAATATATGCTAATCCCACTAAACTGACCACAAACCAAGAAAAACACAAGTGGTGCAAAAAAAAAAAGTTTGACAAATTTAGGAATACAAGTTCACCATAAAGCATATACAGCTGCTGCAGGAGTGAAAAAACAAGGATCAAGTACAAGAAAACCACAGGTCATTCTGAAAGATTATATATTTATGCAAGGTCTACATGTTGAAATCCATAGAAGAGATTTGAGATATCTTCAGTAAACATGTGTTATCTCAGTTCATGATGAAGTTCAATCTAACTTGGCATATACCCAAAGAAGAAAAGAACAGTTACAACCCGTTAAGGCGTTGGGTGCAAATCACTAACAAAGAAACAACAATACGAAAATGGGCCAGGAAAGCGGTATTGTTACTATTCCTGGAGTGGCAATCACAATAGTCATACCTTGTTAATACGGAGACTTCCTTTAACATTTTGTCTATATAGTGAGTTGTTTGCATTAAGGAGATCCGTATTAACGAAACATGTTCACAGATGAAACTCTAAAAAAGCTGCACCCTGCATTTCTCTGCCAAAAATATATTTGACAGGCAGTGAAGCCAACAGTAAAACCTTAAACATATCTTGCACACAAACCTTCTCCAGAGTTATCGTGCGACTGGTGTCCATCACGATCGGCGCCTCTTTTGATACACATCAGCTCTTTGCTTAAATACGGTTTCACGGGTCTCACACCGGCGTGGTCACCTTCTGTAATGAGTTCGTTTGTGACGCAAAAAGTAGGATACGTCTGCAAATGAGCCCCCACATATGTTGCACCTGTAGGGTTTCTCCCCGGTGTGGACCCTGGTGTGACGCACCAAGCTAGACTTTTGCGTAAACGCCTTTGGGCACACCCCGCACCGGAATGGCTTTTCGCCCGTGTGAATCCTTATGTGAGGGCCTAATAGATGTTTAGAGGAAAATGTCTTCTGGCAGATGTGACAGCTGAAGGGCTTTCGTTCAGTGTGTGCCCTTTCGTGATTGATGACGCGATCCACACTGCGGCTGTAGTAAGGGCACAGGCGACACTGGTGCCTGTTCTCCTGTCGTGGCGGTGTTTTGGGATGCCATCCTTCTGCCTCGCCTTCCAGGGTTGTGGTCTGGCTCTCGATGTCTTCAAACTCCACACGCTTGTCCCACCACGATGTCTCGGACGGTACTGACAAGAAGAGACAGCAAACGACATCAGGTGGGTCCTTATTTTGCCAAACTTATTGTGGAAGGTGGTCAATAACTTAATTAAATGACATGTACGTTCCAGACTCAACAAGCACTTAATGAATCCATGGGGTGCTATTTGCCATCCCTGTAGTCCTACTCTTATCAGATAAACAGAGCATCATTGCATCATTGCTAAGAGACGCCATCTGCTGGAAGGACAAGGAATAACCATGTTTGAAGTACCATGAGCTATCGAAATTCTAAATGTATGATAAGCGAAGGACAGACGATGAGTATGTTGAGCCAACTAGTCAACCTTAATATTTTAGTACCACAAGCTATCTGGAGAACGTACAGAAGGGCTAAACACTCTGAAAGGTATTTTACATTTTAGCTTATAATAAGAAAGCTCGCATTCTGTGCCCATGATCCTCAGTCTTGTGTTCCCCCCTCCCCCCCCCCCCCCGCCAAAAAAAAAAAATCAATGTACACTGCTCTTTAGTATGTAGCTGAGCACTCAATAAAGCATCTTATTATCTATCCATTCCAGAACTTTAAAACCAATGAGTTAAAACCTAAGAACTCCAGAAGCAAAGATATTGCATGCAACATAGTAGCGAGAATGTTTGAGGTACCACAAAGACAGGTATACTCCATCAACACAGGAGTCGCTGTGTGCCCTTATCTGTCCTTGATTGATTCAGCACTAATTGCATTGTCATTGCCTCAACTGATAATGAAGGAGACTTATTTTGTAAACACAAAAGCACAATGTACCATAGCACTGCAGCAACTACCATAATATATGGAGAGATAGCCCATCTAAAATTGAAAGCAAATCGGGTGAAAATAAGAAATAAGCTAACTTTTGGTTTGCGATAAAAAAAAGTTAAAAAAATGCTAGTTTTAGATTCTGTGACCTGCGAAACTTTCCATCGCAGGGAGGGGCAATGAACCAAGGACGACTGTCCTTTGCAGTCAGCAATGCCCGCTTATCTCATGTGGCTAAGTAACACCATTTCTGCCAAGGTCACCATTGGCCAGGGCCCTGCAATCACTAAAAGTAGGCAATCTCTCGGCATTTTTAAAAAAACATTAGCAAATCGTGCCAAAAATAGGGGCGGGTTGTCTTTTGGGGTGGGGCATATCTCGGGATATTACGGTAATGGGGACTAACTCTGCAGTCTGCAAAAAATGAACTTATAATCTAAGGATGTTTCTAAAAAAAACACTCTACTTCTGGGAACAGTATGAGCAGGAAAGCTGGAGCATGTACCTTTTGATACATGCTGCACTACCTCAAAACAGATAAAACTGCAGAGTGACGAGAAGACTGCAAGAGGGGTGTGTAAACATGCACACCCTCACAGGCCCTCTGCTTCACTCCCCGGTTTTATCACCCCCAAGGTGGTGCAGCATGTATCGAAGCTTACGCACTCCGGCATTCCCGCTCATACTGTTCACGATAGTACCAGAGGGAAGTTCCCACGCAAGAACATAGTCGGAACAGAGAGACATCATATTTCGTAGCTGCAAACATGAGGCAAAAGCAACAGTGGCAAGAAAACTGCACCACACTGGTTTTGTTGACACAAATGGGGTGGTGGTGCATGGGTTGCACTACTTAAGCAAGGGTGAAAGATGGTCGGTCCTAGGCAATAGTCCAAGACAAGGTGACAAGCACTTTCATCCAATGCTGAAACACTGGTGCAAACAAGGGCACTGTGCACCCAATGTGCACCCCAAACTGTTGACTCGTCTGGTAGACAAGACCCCTTCTCCAAGGCAGAAATGTGCCATTCACTATATTTTCTTTGGGACCATGGCCAGATGGTCGACCTGCAAGGTTTAGAAGAGTTGTGAATAGACAGGAAATGGGTGTACACAGAATGAAGCATATATCTGCTTGTGATCCCACAAGCTACAAACTAAAACAAATGCTAAAATATACAGAAAAAAGATGAACAGCTAGCAACGAGGGCAGTAGAGTCGTATCTCACTTATATGACCACTTGATCTGCTTGGTTTATGGATCAGAATGATTGAGTTCACCGTTACCGGGAGCCTCTCGGCTCCCTTTGGCTAAACAAAATCTTTCTAGCTTGACTTGTCTAGGGGGGCAACGTGTAGGAATGCGAGCTATGTGGGATGCAACATCATTTCAAATGTTGTTTCCCCAAAGGGCAGGGGTACACACGTGCATTGGCATGAAGTAGTATGTGCCTGCTCACAGCTATTTTGCTATACTGTGCATGCTTCACACCTTGGAAAAAGAGTAGAGCAATAACACATCCATTTCAAATGAACATGTACAACACTGTTGGCACGAGCAAGCGATTGCCAATTTTTCCTGTTTTACTCTTAAATTTAAATTGCTGCCACAAAAATCACTATAGTGTAGTAGAAAGCTCTCATTCAGAGCAGCAATTTTTAACCATTCCCTTTTATGTATGAAGATACCCAGACATGATGTTATGGTGCAATTAGTCAAATATGCATTTGAAGTACCCCTGGGTATCGAAAAAATGCGGAGGGTGTTTTCGGAGTTTGTTTTTCGCTAAAACTTCCGAGTTTATCAGTGTTTATTTTTGTTCGATTCTCAATTCTCTGAAATTCTGAGTTTATTTTCTTAAGTTCCTGATATTCATTAAAAAAAAAAAAGCATGCGGGCACCATAACTTGTTGTCCTGAAGGAATCTTGATGAGCTAAAATGCAAACCATTTTTGTCTGTAGTTTGAGACTTCAAAGAAAACTGAAGTGGCATCTCCTCTAGACCACTGACCCTGTGCTCTTAAAAAGTTAATATTAAAAAGAGGATCACTTTTTTGTCACAATCATAAAATTCAGAGCTTTTCCGATAAATCTGAATTGACAAAAAAAGTACCGGTAAATGTTTTCGGATTAATCCGAAAACACAAAACCCTTGTTATAGTGTATACCTTTAAAGTTACAAAAAAAAAAAAAGTTTGTCAATTTTTTTTAATGTTTTTTCAATCATTATTTACAATAAAAAAGTTCTAGCACTTACTATTTTTGTTGTTCATTGCACTCAATGGTTCAAAGGAGTGGAATAGCTTATTTTACTATGCTCTTTTAGGTTTCTGACCATGCCCCATGTGTGAACAAGAACATGTTTTGTTTTGGCTTGTATACTACACCTAGGACAAAAGGTAGATTAGGCACTATAAACTAAAATTTCTGTTCAGCTGTTGTAAAAAAAAAAGAATGATTTCCCATGGCACATACCTCCTTAAACTTGATCACTCCCCAATAGGTGGCAATCAGCACGCTGCTTATATTGCACACCTCTCTTGCACAGCGCCAATCTCTGAGGCGTAGCATCAGTTTTTCTTTCTGTGTTGCCCTGTCACTAACCCTTCCCTCAACCCCCTACAAAAGACCCCTTTTATGTAAGGGAAGCTGCCCTATGCTGAATAATACTCTACTGAGAAAAATAAGCACTGCTCAAATCACCACGGTGTTCTTTCCAATGCTATTACACAAATAGAAACAGAGAGGCTTTCAAGGACTGGCCGTGCCACGATTGGCTGTGCTAGTGGCCACGCCCACACCAAGGCAAGTGACGAGGCATTCGGTAGACATTCTTTGAGACAATACTGGCAGATTTCAACCTTCAAGGTTTAGAGGAGGGTGAACACATTAGAGAGAGCTGCTGCTCCTGTAAGAAAAGCACACAATGGTTTTTAATGCAGCATTATGGCATGCAATGTAATTCCCATTTAAAGACAAACACTGGAGCCAGAACAGCACCGGTCCTGTTCAGGAATGTGAGTACCCTAACATCCCCCAAAAGATAATCCACCCTTATTTTTACAAAATTTGCTTTTTTTTTTTTCTTTTTTAACATTGAAAGATAGTTTATTTTTAGTAATTGCAGTGTTCTGGCCAATGGTTTCATCAGCCAAAATAACGTTAGTTAGATACGGCGGAAGGTGAACAAAGATTGCTGACTGAGAAGGTCAGCTGTTTATGCGCTCCACTGCCCCTCAATGTGAAAACAAGTTTGGCAGGTCACAGAACACAAAAATAGCCTTTTTATTGTATCCTTCTCAATCGCACGCTGAAAGTTAGCCCGCTCCTCAGCTTCACCCGATTTGCGCTCGCCTTTGGGTGGGCAACCTGTCGGGACATTACGGTAGGCACAAACACCAAAGGCGAGTTCCCGTATCTGCATTTGAGTGCGATTTGCTGCATTGCGACCGCTTGGACGAGAGCACACACTGGCATACTAGTGCCATCTATCAGGCAGCTCTGGGACAATTTTGATCTGTGCATAATTAAACTGAGGATTTTGCAGTATCTTTGCACTATGAGAAATGGTCGCTTATAACTAGGGTTCCGTGTTTACGGATACCCCTAAATAAAAAAGAATGTCCAAAAGACACTTGCCGGTACATTATTCCACAATTTAGGTTTATCTGAAAAACTCTGAATTACGAGTACCCGGTGCCAAAATAAAAAGCAGGAAAAAGCAAAAACTATGGTGTTTTGTGCGTAAATTTAGCGGTAGCACAGGTTTGGCGGTCCTAAAGAAAGGTCACTTCAGTTTTCTAAAATGCTGGGCCAATTATCTCGTCGAGGTTCGTTCAGAGCGACGGGTCATTGTACTTCAGGGTCATGACAAGAGCCCCTGTTCCAGTTTCCAGTTTAGAGCATTCTAATTGTGCTTCTTAGAGGGGGAGGAGGGGTTTATAACAGTGAACGCTGTGAACCTGGGGGGCATGGGCAGCTGGAGCTTCTATGCTTCCCACCGACTACGTCCAGGTGTTTAGTTAATTCAAGGTATTGACGTTAACTGAAGCAACACTTCGTCACGACTTTCATTGCCAATGGCAAGGGAACCAATGCCAAACACAGCTGGAGAAATACAATTTTATACAGATAAGCTCTTATGAACTAGTGCATGGATAATATTTATTTTTATTTTTAATCTTGAAAAACTGGAAACATTAAAATTAAACTCCAAACCAGAGCATTGGGAATGTAAAAAAAAAGAACTCTGACAAACTATTGATTTTTTGCAAAAAATAAACTTCAAAAAGCACCCTATAAATTTCACAAAAAATAAACTCCAAAAACACGGAATTCTACTTAGAACATTGTCAGAATTATTTCAAATTCGTGGTAAAAGAATGATGTGCCAAATATACAGTTTGAAAGCATTCTGGAGCTACCTAATAGACGGTGGCAGTACGTGCTCTCACCGTAAGTTGCCACAAGCGATTGCAACGTGGTCGATCACGATCGAACGCAAGTGCATAAACCAGCAATAACAATAGTAAAATGACACTGTGAGGGGTGCGTAAACAGACACAAAGACGTACAATCGTCAGCTGTACTGCTTTTCTAATAGTAACATTTCGGCAATAAGGCAAGGGCATGTGGCTCACATTAACCAAATACTTTACTAGGGGGAATTCACGGGCGCTCCCCGAGAATACGTAGAAAAAGATGAGAACAAAAAACCACGGAAACACGCGTGACAGCGGCGGCAGCGGCACAGCGTTCCGAGGCGTCGCCTGGTCACGTGCTCTGGTGACGAGACGGACAGTGGGGGGGAAAGAGGTGTGCCAAATACACCGCTCCGCTAGGGGAGGATTCAACACGGCCATCGCTGTATAATGCAAATCAGGCGAGTGTCCTGTATTCCCCCTAGTAAAATATTTGCATTTACCCATAATATCCTGAGCAATGTCCAAACCTCGAAAGGTGGCCCACCCTGTTTTAGGCACTTTTTTTCCCATTTGTACAAACACCAAAAAATTAACTTACTCGTAGAAACGTCACTGGCCATGTGAACTCTACAGAAATGGGGCAGCTCTTTTCCACCCCTGTCACTTCGACATATAGGAAGCATTTGTGAGGGCCTTTGTTGGCACCATTTGGAACCACCTGAAAACAATGTTCGACTGACCAAAGGCCCTAATCTACACGACATTACCAAAGGGTACCGTGAGAGTGCGACATCACCGCCTGCTACGATTGGACAGCTCTGCCCTGCTGTCCAATCGCAGCCGGCGGTGATGTCCCGGTCCCGCCGTGTAGAATAGGGCCCTAAGATTGCTTCAGTACCAAGCCTATCCGCAGAAAGTACTCGCATTCAAAGAATGCGAAAAAAACAAAAGCCGTGCTGTGGCCATCATGGGGACGGACAGTGACCACGGCAGCCGTGGCATACTCGGGTTTTTCGGAAGTATAGAGTCTAGATGGCGCTTCAAACGACGGGTGGCAACCTTTAAGAGGAAGATGACAGCCTCGCTTCTCCACCGGAGTTTCAGAAATGAATCGATCTACAGTCACCGACAAGCTGAGATTGGCAGGGCATCTCTTTCCAACGCCCAAACTCCAGCATGCGCTCGTCGCCTTTTGCAGTGCATGCATGCTCGAGGCTTATACGACACGTCTATGCATTATCGAAGGTAGGAAGCTAGCACTGGAGGTGCAGCAATGAAACACCTCCTCGCCGTTCTCATTCTGTAGGTGACTATGCGGAGCGCAAGTTCGTCCACTTCTTGCGCAGGGGTTGTGGTGGCGTCATAATGCCAAGCTCTGATTGGCTCTAGTTCGAAGGACAGAGGGCAGACCTCCGTGCTATCTGCCGTGATGTCTACCCACTCGTCTTTCAATCAAAGCCAATCTGAGCTCGGCGTTCTGATGTCACAGCAACCATTCTGCAAGGAGCGGACAAGCCTGAGTTCCGCATAGTAATGAGGCAGAAATTTGGGCGAGTTAGTCGATCAACCAACTTGCCCACAGCACTGTGTCTGTGCACTTCTTGCTTCTCATCCTTTGTCAGATTTACGCTGTTCCCACCTTGCAAGACTCTAGTAACCTTGGATTGTGAAAACGAAACACTCCATTTGTCACGCCCCATCATCGTATTAATTCTGTGTAAATATTTTTTTTCCTCTTTTTTTTTTTCTTATAAAGTTTTTCTAGTGAAAACTAAAAAAATAAAACAAAATGCTTTGAAAGGAAAGTTGGTAACTTGATAAGGAGTGCTGTAATGGAGTATGAGAGCTACTCTGTGTCCGCTTTAAAAGCGTAGCTGTACGGTGTCGCCACAGGAGCATCCATAAATGTTCCAAAGGTGAGAGTGTCGAGAGCTACTCACAAGCACAATGGACTTCTTTCCAGTAAGCTTCTGTGCATGCAGATGTCTTCTCCCCCTGGCCTTGCTTTCTGATTTATACATTTTTTAGGGGACCGTCCACTGTCAGCGCCTATCTTTGTGCATAACTCGCCCTTCTTGTCGATCCGTTTTTGAGTATCGGTAGTATGGGGCATAAAAAAGCAACGAAAACTGATATAAGGGCACAACGCCAATCTGTTCCAACAGGCGGGGGCATGCTGAGCTACCCTCCATTTGTAATTTGTGGACAACTCCCCAGACGGCGCTTGTTACTCAAAAAAGGTCCGTTTTCATTGAGGCCTTCTGCTACCCTTTACAGTTCTTTGACCTTTCAGCAATTCCTTTAAACAATAGACCTTTTGAAAAAAAAAAAAAGAATAAAAAAATTCTAAAAGGCTGTACGCAAAGTCCTGTACGCTCCTCCTCGCCCTGAAGAGAGAGAGAAAGATAGGGGTAGCGCGGTTGCTCGCCTGCCCTCACCTGCTTGCCTGCGTCGTCTGCTTCAAGATTCCAAAAGCGCGCGACTTGGGCTTCATACTTTCATAGAGAAGGATCGAAGCGAGCACTGCTGATCGCCAGCGTCTGCTGTCACTCCGAGTTGAGGACGCGGCAAGCGGTCACTGCCTCCCGAAAGCACCACCCCTCGGAGAGAGGTACGACTCTCGAAGACACCGGAGAGACGCACGGGGCACAAACTACTCTCAGGTCGGACTCGACAGAGTTCACAAACGCCCAAAACGTGCGTCCGAAGTATGGGAAGATATGCCTCCATGGTACGGGCTGTCGTTTTTTTGAGGTGCCGTGATTTTCCTGAATCATTAACTTTTATTATTATTAATAATATTATTTGTGCTTCTTCGCTGTTCTCCGATGTGCAGCTGTTGCGGCACAAGTGGTGTGGATCCGTGGCAGCAGTGCACTGAAGGATGACAAATGTCTTCTCTCCCGTTCGTTTAAGCACACCCACCACACGCACCGTTATTCATGCTCTCAAAACACGCACAATGCCGATAGTGCTCCAACATTTGCATCCAGCAATCAACGTACGAAACGCCAAAATGTAGTAAAGACCAAACAATAGCTTCGACAGCCACGACACACGCTGGATTGGATTGCCTTGTTCTGGGCGGATTATCGACGCCTCCGACCGAGACGAACAAACAACTTCAAAAACGTGCTGAAAATACGTTATTTGTAAAAACAATTACAAACCCCCTCCTAGAATATTTTTTTAAGAAAGAAGGAAAAAGCCACCACCCTAGAAATAAACATTAACTTAACTGAAGAAATGTTTTGCAGGCCAACGCCGCACTTCCACTTTCGTTCTCGTCAACGGGTTGCTCGGAGTCGGCTCACGCTTCCCCTCGAACTCAAAGCTGTGCACACGCGATTTTCAGTCCCGAAATGATAGAGAATGTCGTCCGCAAAGGCTACAAGCGCGAGCAAGAAGTTATGAGTGGTGTTCTCGCTGCACGAGCGTTCGTACCGCCGCGATTACATCTAAGTTCCCCTCAAATTTGTCGAAACTATAATTATACAGCAATGATATGTTATTTCTGATTGAATGATTCACTATACTTCAGTTCAGCGGCGTAAACTTTACAACTAAAAAAAAACAAAAAAAACAAGGACATTGTTACTTCTTACCGAGGCAACACAGGTGCCCTGTGTCTTTTTTGGGCACAAAACCTCAGTATGCATCTGTACTTCCAAGATTGTGAATGCTTTATAAACATAACTTTCTTGTGCTTGAAAATATTTTGCCAAGGGACATTGGACTTTTCTCGTGCTGAATTTTCGATTTGAAATCCGCGCTTCGAAATGTGTGGGCAGGCAGAGATCGTGCTTGCACACTGTGAACACGAGAGTTCACGGAACACAAACATGCGTTTTCACTCCAGAACCTCTGGAATGCAAAGAATGTTTGATGGAGGTGAGGTGGTGGAGGGCTATAACGCGCTCTGCGTAAGGGTTTTCACCTATCTGCCTAGCCCCGCCACACCACCACATGTTCCCCTTCCAGTATGTGCAAATAAAATAATTATTATCTACAAGTGCTTGTTTCAACTCCAGGTTCCACAAACCACAAGTGTAAACAAAATGTTAGAACTGAATACAAACACCTTAAAAATACAACACCAATATTAACAAGGGCCAAAATGTAGTTTCAAAATCCCCGAATAAAACGTCGAGGTTACACGATCACAAGAAAAATTCCACTGACGCTTACTGCAATGCCACCTTAAAATTAACAAACCAAAACTTGCAAAAAAAAATTTAAAAAATTTACGTTACCTGAGTAGCAATTGTCAAATGTCATTTGGAAAGCTAATTGTAACCGGATGCCTTAAGAATTTGAAATATTCCCGTCGTGTTCAAAAATAGGTTGAATATGATCTACCATATCCGTAAATGACAATCGCACGTTTGAATTTTGAGCCTGGTGGCTGTATTTTTCGCTATAAACGGCCCACTCTGGCAAGCGCTCGGAGAAGGCCCAGCGGAGACCACGTGACATCCAACGCAATCGTGACGTAGGTCGTCTCAAGACGAGCAAAGCTACGGCGAGGCTGACGTCGAGAGGATGGCCTAGTAGTGGTGCAAAACTATCGATAGTACTATCGATAGTATCGATAGTCGCCAGAAATCTGACTATCGATAGTGAAAAAAACTATCGATAGTACTATCGATAGTCGACTATCGGAAAACTATCGATAGTACTATCGATAGTCGACTATCGAAAAACTATCAATAGTACTGATAGTCGACTCTCGAAAAACTATCGAACATTTATCGATAGTCGACTATCAGAAAATTATCGTTAATCAACTATCAGAAAACTATCGATAATCGTAAACCTATCAATGGTACTGTCGACGATTTACTATCGATAGTTTTGCGACACTAGTAGTTTGCGTCGCTCCCTCTTCTCTTTTTATCGCTTTATTATTATTATTTTTTTTTTTTCAAATGGGACACCAACTAGGTTAGGCACTTACCATCCTAACTTTCGTTCAGCTTTCAGTGATGACGAAGACGGGAGTTTGGGCGAGGAGAGAAGGGGAGGCGAGCGGTAAGGCCGGGCCGGGGAGGGGGAAGCAGACGGAACGCGGGAGAAGAGATGGGGAAACCTCCTTCTCTCTTTAGCGTTCCGTCTGCTTCCCCCTCCCCGGCCCGGCCTTACCTTCGCCCTACCTTCTTGAGTTGTAACGGACTATAGTGGTGCAAAACTATCGATAGCACTATCGATAGTCGCCAGAAATCTGACTATCGATAGTCGACTGTCGGAAAACTATCGTTAATCGACTATCGGAGAACTATCGATAGTCGACTATCGTAAACCTATCAATAGTACTGTCGACAGTTTACTATGGATAGTTTTGCGACACTAGTAGTTTGCGTCGCTCCCTCTTGTCTATTTATCGCTTTACATTTTTTTTCAAACGGGACACCAACTAGCCCAGGCACTTACCATCCCAACTTTGGTTCAGCTTTCAGTGATGACAAAGATAGGAGTTTGGGCGAAAAAAGAAGGGGGAGGCGAGCGGTAGGGCAAGGGTAAGACGGGCCGGGGAGGAGGAAGCAGACGGAACGCTGGAGAAGAGAGGGGGGAACCTTCTTCTTTCTTCAGCGTTCCGTCTGCTTCCCCCTTCCCCGGCCCATCTTACCCTCGCCCTACCTTCTTGAGTTGTAACGGACTATAATGGTGCAAGACTATCGATAGCACTAGCGATAGTATCGTTAGTCGCCAGTATAGTAAAAAACCATCGATAGTCGACTATCGAAAAACTATCGATAGTCGACTATCGAAAAGCTATCGATAGCCGACTATCGAAAAACTATCGATAGTCGACTATCGAAAAACTATCGATAGTCGACTATCGAAAAACTATTTATAGTATCATCGATAGTCGACTATCGAAAAGCTATCGATAGTCGACTATCGATGGTACTATCGATAGTACTATCGATAGTTCTGGGACACTATCGATAGTTTTGGGAAAACTATTGATAGTATCAAAAGTCAATTTATCGATAGTTTTGCATCACTATGGCCTAGTCGTTCCAGCCACCGAAGCGGCTGCTTTTGTACGAATTTTGAGTGACAGGTTAATTTTCTATAATCTTGTAGGGGGACAATAGCGACTTCTGCGACACACAAAAGGCATTCTCGGGAAGAAGGGAGTTCCTCCTGCCCCTCTTCTCTCGTCGTGGCCGGAGACGAGACAACCTCCGTCAGCGGTCACTAGCTGTCAAGGTTCCTAGATGGGCATCACAAGTGAGGCGTTAGCGACATCCACCAGGTGCTCTTTGCTAATCATTTAATTCGTTTTAAAATTCCTTTTCGTGACTTTTTTTAACAAGATATTGGTATGTTCGATGTGATGCTGCTTTTTTGAACACATATAGACCAAAAAATGGGCGCCGAAATTTCGTTGCAGTATCCCTTTAAAACCTCTTGGGATTTATTATGACGAGATGACACGCTGGCGCCACCTACTGGGTAACCGTGGAACACTTGGCATTTCTGTATATTTCCAATTTTTTTCTGACACACCATTTTTTCCTTGCGTGAAACAATTATTTACAATGTTACAAACAACCATTTCCAGGGTCACATTACAGATGGTGCCAGCGTGCACTCTCATCGTAGGAGATCACGAGAACTCAGTCGTAAGCAGATAAAAGTGCCTGAATGGGCCTTTATGCAGAAAATATTGTTCTCTGTAGATCACTGTAAACCATGTCCACATAAGGAAGAATCGCTGCAGAACCCTGTAATCCAAATCTTTTAATGGCCCCGAAAACCAGACGCCACGGGTTGCAGACGACAACTGCCAGGAATCCAAAACTAGACCGCTGCCCTACAGTGAGTTCTGCCGTGCGCCAAGAGATCCTCGTTGCGGGAGTATGCCTTGCTGCACTTGTCGCACGTGAACGGCTTGTCGTTTGTGTGAGTCCTCCGGTGCCGGATGAGGTTGGACACCACAGTGAAGCGGTAGCCGCACGTCTCACATTTGTACGGCCTCTCTCCCGTGTGGGTGCGCTGGTGCGTCTTGAGGCTGCTTGAGAGCTTGAAGCCCTTGCCGCACATCTGGCACCGGTAGGGCATCTGCTGCCCCGGGGCAGACACCTTTCTGACGTGCAATGTTTCGTGCCTGGCCACGTCAGACGGCAAATCGCTGCAATAGGTGCAGAAGCGACACCGGTACTCCTCGTCCTTCCTCTGGGGATCGATTTTGGTCACTGCGAGAACAAGAGCGAGAACTAATTTACCTCTCGCAGAGCGAGCGTATTCACAGACGATTCGTCCGCTAATGCGAGCGAAAAATGTGGTTCGTCTGATACGAACTGCCATTTGCAGACGGAAAGAAAGCAAGAAAACATTGTAGGTCGTCTGCTAACAGACTGAGACAAAATTTTATCATCTGCAGCAAACCGAGCGCCGCGGCAGAGTGAGATCGGACGCGGGCTGAAATTGCGATTGTCTGCAATTTCACGATGGAAGCCATTGACAACTTGCACTTTGTTTGGAAATTTCAAGTTGTTCTGCCGTCACGCACAAGCCAATGTCGAACAGTGGACAAAGTAGTACTGTGGAAGGGCACATCAGACACCTCTTGCTACTTGCACGTTGGCAAGATGTTGTCGCCAAAATAATGCCCGACTGCGAACTCGCAAATGAGTGAAAGACGCCTCATTGGTTGATTACAGTCAAGCTGCGGCGCCATGTCCTATCGGCTGCAGAGAACGATCTCGCTCTCACCTTGACCCAAATCAGACTCCTGGTGCGTCCGCCTCCGGTGTTCGTCCAAGTCGGCCAGCGTGAAGAAGAGGTTCCCGCAGTCGCTGCACAGGAAGCTCACCGTCGTTACGTTTAGCTCCAGACTTTGCGCGTCTGGCGGGGGGAAAACGCAAGAGTTGCAGCCGTTAACACTCGCCAATGCACGTAAAGGCCGACTCGCACATTTGCGTCGCAGCGTAAAGGCTCCTTCACACACCCGCGACTGCTTAGGACCGCAGCGACCTCTTGCGATATCTCACGAGAGAACACAGTCGTGCCGTTCGTTAAGCAGTTGTGGTACACTCGCATTTTCCGTGCCTTTCATACCTCTTTTACCGTTCATTGTTCTTGCGCCGTTGGCTCGGACAAACTTTCGACAACGTCATAAACGACCATTTCTCGTAGACGATACATATACATTGGATCTCGCGAATACTGCAAAACCTTCGCTCTGGTGAAATGCAGTCCCAGGGCCACCTTGTAAATGGTCGTAAGCAGACGCAACTGTGCGAACTGCCTTCACCAAGTGCGTTGTGCTCGCTTGCGGTTGCCTACGACAGGCGCACATCAAACGCGCCGATGCCATCTGTCTGGCAGTCCTTCTGACCTGCGCATAAATATAGTCGGTTGCCTCGTTCAGAAACCTACGCTCTGCCCCAAGCAGGAGCTTTCCGACTTTCGTATCACTTCACCGCGTGTGCAGCAGAGGCCCGGCGGAAGGACAGGAGGGAAGTGTGCCGTAGGCGAAGCGCCCGTCGGGTTCCCAACCTGTCACCGACTATAGAGGCCGAACGTTTTGCAGTATTTACGCCGAGATCAAACCTACGCTCTACGGGAAACGGCCGTTTAGGACATTGTGAGAATTATTTCGAGCCCACGGTAAAGAATGACGCATACAAAAATGAGAAGACATGCATACGCGCGTCGGAATATATGTTACGGGGCTATCCAATAAATGACGCCAATGTGCCAGCATGTCCCATCGTCCTAAGTGGTCACAAGTAGGATTTCGTGTTTTCCCCCGAGTTTAATTTTCATGAAATTCGGAGGGTGTCCTTCGGAGTTCATTTTCTGTTGAAAATTTCGGGTTCATCGGAGTTTATTTTTATTCGATTCTCATTTTTCTGATATTGGGAATTTATTTTATTGTGGTTCCTATTTAAAGAAGATCAAATAAAAAATAAACGAAATTTGGGTGCCATGACCAGTTTTCTCAAGAAACCCTGACGAGCTAAAAGGCAAACCCTTTTTGTCAGTAGTTCGAGATTTCAAAGGAAACTCAAGTGGCATCTCCTCAGGTCCACTGACCCTGTGCACTCGCAAAGTTTATTTTTAAAACACCGGCTTTTTTGCTTTTTATTGTTTTCCGCTGTGACCTCAAAGTTTGGAGTTTTTTTGGATAAATCCAAATTGACAAGAAATTTATCGGGGAGTGTTTATCAGATTTTTTCAGATTTATCCGAAAACACGGTATCCTAGTCGTAAGCAAGCACAACGCACTCAGTCGCACACAGACACGAATGCACGAACCGGCCTTAAGAGCGGTGGCCTTGTTGTCGAGTGCACACCAATTGTGGCATACATTTCGCAGTACCGACATTGTTTCTCTCTGCAAGAACAGGTAGAAACAACAACCAGCAAGATGCGGTGACGTCACGTGCAAGCCACGTGTGCGGCCTGGTTAATTCACTGCAGCCCGACACAGCCTGAACCGTGTAACCTGAAACGGCATCCGCATCCTTTGGCCAAGTATAACCCAGTCGCCCAGCCATATAAAGTTAGTTCTGAAGTTATTCAAGCTATGTGTAGACATAGTTTAGCATATGGGTACACTTCCTGCGTGCACACTTAATATGTTTGGGAATTGCAGTGCAAAATGTGTCGAGCCATTGCAGATAAGTGGCAAGGCAAACTCCAAGACCATACTTGCTCGGCCCCATACTGACGAAAAAGCGAATTTATAGAAATCGTGCAAGTAGTAACAACAACTTCAAAAGGCACACAAAGAATGAGGACAAGAAGCGCACACCACGGAGGTGCATTAGCAAGTACCAGTTTTCAACTCTTTCGTGCTTTCAGGAAGGCATTCAGTACATCAACAAAAAGCAATAAACATTTTCCCTATCATGCAAAAAAGGGGGATAAAACGAAAGCCCATACCAAGGTGCACTAACAACACAAGTTTTCAACCAATTAGTGCTAACACCAAGGCACTCGATACATGAAAAAACACCAAATAACATTTTCTCTCGCTCTCTTTTTCAAATTTTGGGCAAAATAGTTTACCAACATTTATGAAGGGTGATTCTAAACAAAGAAAACAGTTATCATTCATTCATCAATTATATTGCTTGCCTCTAAAAATTTGTGTACGATAAAAAAAAAAAAAAATTTTGCACCATTTTCTGCAAGTTGAAATTACTTTCTTAGCTTATTGCTGGCCTACAAAATATTACCTTTTACAGTCGAATCTTGTTAATTCAAACTCTCTCAATTCAAACTTGCAGATAATTCAAACTAACATGCAGGTCTCATCCTATGCGTCTCTGTGGGAGGAAACTCTCGGTAATTCAAACTTTGCTTTATTCAAGCAAATTTTCGGTCCCCCTCGAGTATGAATTAACGAGATTTGACTGTATATCCAGATTTATACAGGGCGTTTTTTTTTTAAGCTTAACAGATTTGTTTAAAAAAAGCCGTGAAAGCTACACCCACGTGGTTTGTGCAGGTTAGTTATACAACCAGCGGGACATAATTTACGGGTCTAATTGTCACGCTAAGTCAAATAATTACCAAACATTTGTTAATGATCCTTTTAATGAGTGAAAATAGACATATGGTTTCAATTAGAAACTAGCTGAGCATCTTCAAAAACCACTAAACGAGCAATTTTTAGAAAGAATTTGAGTGTGGGGGAAGCGCAGTAGAGCACATACAAGGCTGGTGCTATGATACGAGACGGAAACACCCGCCCGGGCGCGTTATTGCACCGGTAGCCTTGCTCTTGTTATTGCACCGGTAGCCTTGCTCCAAAGTGGCAACTTTGGCACTCCACCGTGTTTCCCATGTACTCCAACTACTTCTAATATTGACTAGTTTAGTGGTTTTTGATGACGCTCAGCAAGTTTCTAATTAGAACCACATTTTTATTTTCAAGAATTAAAACATTAATGAGCATGTTTTAGTTAATTAGCAGACTGATTGTTGCGATTAGCCCCCTTTACTATGTCCCCCTGGCCGTATAACTCACCCTTTACATACCGCATTAGTGTAACTTTCACGGCTTCCTTTACACAAGCCTGTTAAACTTGGGAAAAAAAAACCAAAAACACCCAGTATATCCAATGCATTCATTGCCAGCAAAAAACCACCTATAACAAACTTCATGATCACAAGTTGCTCAATGCCAGCAAAAGCCTACCGTAACACTGCACAAGCAACATTTGCTCAGCAGACAATGTAAAGGCACAGGTGTATTTTGTCTTGTGTCTTTGCTTAGCCTTCGTTCTTGAGTGCTGTTGGATTCTCAACATGTTGGAATGTGTACGAACCGACCAAATTCTTGACATTATTATTGTTAATTAAAGTTTACATAGTCCTTTGGCTAGAACCCTTGAGAAAACGTAAAGAGCCTGTCAGCTAAATCATGATCTATCACACTCAAGCCATAAGCCTGATTACAATGGCGTAAAGTTCTGAGATTCTTTATTACTCAGACGGAAACAGCACACTGCGGGATTATACAAACATGAACAGAGACAACCAATTAGAATATTATATATAGCAAGTATGAAGTCTTGAATGAAAGAGACAAAAGCACGGAAAAAAATATATATACAGTCATGAAAATTGGAGAAATGTGTGAAATTGCATGGGATAAAATTTAAGATCGTACTTTGAAGGGAAAGCTACATTAAAGTTTGAGTGTTTTATTAGCAGCGAAATTATGTAGAAACTGCATGCTAAAAAGTACCCAGTTTTTTTTGTTTTTTCTCAGAGGCATTTCAGTCCTGCAAGAAAATGCAACAGGGGAATTATAGTATGAGCCCTTTTGCAACTGTGATATAAGAATTAAAAGAATGTAAACAAAAACTTGCTAAAAACAAGTTTTTTTTTTAAGCTATTTGGGGTCATGTTATTTCCAGAAAGTCGAAAGTTCTTTTTGGTCCACTTCACAGACTCAACACTGTAGTTTTATAAGGTTATTAGATTGTGAAAATGAATTCAGCAATAACATGGTGATGAAAAGTGAAACTAAGGATATTAAAAACTATCTTGATTTTTTATACGAGCCGGGAAAAAGGTGGAACAACGTGATCCCACGTCTGGCATTGAGAAAGCAAAGCTCAACAGAAAAAGTTATTCCTTGTTTTCTCGGCGAGTATCTGGCAGTCAACTAAATAAAGTTATAACGACATTATTGTTATAGGCAGTTTTATTTTTGGTCAACAAAAGCTCGAGACAAAACCCTGCTTGTGTACAAAAAAGGAACCTGGATGCAGGAGGGATAGGTGACTATGTAAGCTGAAACCAGCTTGTACAATGAAAACAAACCTGCGCATCATTGAGTAGAAATAGATGGGCAAAACCGATTTCCCACACAAAATGTGAATGCAGAACACCTCAAAACTAAACAAATCATTGGGACACATATCATGGGAAAAACGTGAGATGGGAACATCCAACACCGATGGAGGTGCCCGAATCATATTTGCAAGCACAAACTAATGCACAACACTGTCGCTTCAAGACGTCCCCGTGGGTAACAAAGAGCCCCGCAGCACACTGGTGAAAGACACTGCCACTGTATTCTATAACTAGCAGAACAGCAGAGTCTCGTGTATTCTATAACTAGCAGAACACTCAAAATATGACATATAAAACCTTGTAAAAAAAAAAAAAAATGAAACTGCATATTTTGTTGATTTTTTCAATCTTTTTGGTCACTTTTCAAGGCACATCGACAGTTGCCTGCCGATGTGCATTGACTGTGGCTCATGCATGATGGAGCACTACAATGCTGCTTTCATGGTCGTGTCTCGGGCCGTGACCTCCACCTAAATCACGTCTAACAAAATAAATATTTTACGAAAATTTCTTTTTCACATGCAAATAATACAACAAAAATTTGTCCCAATTAGTACATTCAAATTTTTTTTCTTCTTTTTATTGATTTTTTTAAGAGTGGCTGCGCATGACGTGTGTTCAAGTAGTATTTTTGTGCTATTATACTTAAACAAGCATGAAATGAAAGAGTAGTGTTGTACACAACCCCAATTCTGCAAGTCATTGCTTGCTGTGGGCTGGAAGAAGTCAGCATAAATAAGCAAAATCCCAAAAATGAAAAAAAAAAAAATGAAAATTGCTTTGCAAAGAGGAATTCAACGACAGACGAGGTGCAACGAAGCACAGTATGGTAAAGGACAGGATGGGCCACTAGCAAGTCCCAGCAATACAGCCAATGGCACTTCTGAATTCTCAATGTAATAGAGCTATAACCAAAAGTTTGTAATAATAGTTATGCTTTGTTTCCATAAAGCACTCACACCCTTAATTCATACAAACTGGAAAACTACCAGGCAGAGTCGTCCCTGAAGCCCGACCCGCGCCCAACACGCTCCAACTTCCGAATCCTCTCGCGCGGCTGCGGAGATGCGCCTAAGGGCAGTCCCCGGCGTGCTTCTTCTTGTGCACGTTGAGACCCGACGAGTCCGTAAACCTCCGCCCGCACCTGCTGCACTCGTACGGCTTCTCCCCGGTGTGGGTGCGCTGGTGGATCCTCAGGGCTGACTTGCGCGTAAAGTCCTTCCCACAGATGTCGCATCCGAAGAGCCTCTCGTCCGTGTGGGTCGTTTCGTGGGCTTTGAGGTGGGCGGTCTGCGAGAACGCCCTCCCGCACCGCTTGCACACAAAGGGCCGCTCCCCCGTGTGGAGACGCTGATGGACGGTGAGGTAGCACTTGGTCGTGAAGGACTTGCCGCAGATGAGGCAGTCGAAGGGCTTCTCCCCCGTGTGCCTCCTCTCGTGGCGGATCACATGCGTCCGGTCGCCGCTGGTGTAGGTGCAGTAGCCGCACTTGTGGATGGCCTCGTGCTGCGGCACACCCTTCAAGTGCATGTCCACGAAGGTCCAGGAGGAGTGCGGGTTGTCGGGATCGATGAAGCCTACGCCGCCACTGATCGACCTAAGAGGTCGATCGTCCGGATCTGTTGGGAAAACAGAAAAGGAAGGATGTACGCTCGAACAAGGAGAGCTACTCCAACCTTAAGGCTGGTTCACATGCTTGTGCTAGACTGTGACCAGTTTTTAAGCTACTTGCGACTGCTTTCAACTGGCTGCGCTCCTGCAGAACAGGTGATAAGCAGTAAGAAATGGCTTAAAAAACAGCTGTAGTGGAGCTGGTCACAGTCAAATGCAAGTGTGTAAACCAGCCTTTACAGTGTCACGTCTAACTTCTCAGCTAATTTTCTAATGTATGATGTCGCCAGGTTGTTCACTGCTGTCACATTCAATGGGAGTTAACTAGTTACCCGAGTGTACATCTTTTCTTAAAACAATAGTATGTACAGATTTGTTTGGCTTTCGTGCGTCGTAAGTTATAGGGAAGCATTTTTTACACTTTGATGTGGTTGTCAGCTGCTAAAGAATATATTATTGAAAGCTCTGCGATATCACATACCATGGCACTTCATTCAGAATGGTCGAACTTACATAAGGTGCGACCATCCTGACACACACATATGAACTACTACTGCTACATTTTTCACAAAGTGCAGATAAAATTTCAGAAGAAAATTGCCTATTGCAATTATGATGTTTTTTTGTTTTTTTTAATTACCATTGTAAAATTTCTATACTTTTCTAAGTTCACAAGAACATGCATGCAAACACTAGATACTCAAGCAAATGGGATCACATTGAAAGAAAGAGAATTATTCCAAGAGAAAAAAGACCAGAGTTCTGAGTAAACAATGACATATCACCCCAATTTGACATAGGCAATCATCAGTCAAGACAAGCATCTCTGAAGTACAACACAAACTGACAGATTTTTAAGTCACAAAAATAAAACCCAAAGTTTCATTTGTGGTGCAAAGATTAGAATCAGAGTTAGAGATTTCACAAATGGTACACAACGCATCTCAAACCCTGTGTGCCCTACAACTGATATTTATACCGCTATTCCCTGCCTTTGTAAGGCATCAATAGCTGGAGGAGGTCAGTAACAAACATTTCTTTGTCTTTATGCATTATCGGTGAGTTTCATGTGTCTGTCATGGCCACTCGACAAACTTTCAGAAATGATTGCACTCTTGAGATCGCTGAAATCTATTCATGCCGGGTTTTCCTCCTCCAGACAAACTATAAAGCTCACGTTAATCTTGCTTGAACTTCCGCTACATGAAGTAATATATAGGATATGGTTTCCTGCTATAAGACTAGAATAACAAACTCAAAACCAGTGCTCAACATCAACGAGTACACAAGGCCGTAAACTAACTTTAACTTACAAAAGCAGACAGGAAGGAACAATGACAGAAGACCCACAGGTTGCATAATTATAAATACCAACCCCTACGGCAACATAGTATTTAAAAAAAAAAGATGTTGACGTTTTAGCCGAAACTAAACTTCACTGTTTAATAGGGACAACAGCTACTGCTTTTACAAACTTGTCAGGCTCTCAATCTGTATAGAATTACACAGCGGTAATGTTGACACCGATGAATCAAATGTCACACTGTTTCTCACACCTCTTTACAAGGTAACAGACTGGCACCATCTATAGGGTAGCCCTGGAAACCTGCTGCTCTACATATATTTTACACATCATTCTTTCACCATGAGCCTGAAATTATTCTAGCTCACATCGAACACACTGGCTTCCCTTAGCAGCAAGTTGCAAATGCGGGCAAAAGCTCGCAAAACTATGAGGTTTAGAGAAAACATTTGGGTTCTCTTGAGCACGCGCTTTCTCGACTTGCGGTGGAGCTGAAGTACCCTGCTACGTCCCGATGTGCTTCCGCTTGCTTGGCACACATTTCTGCCACCTCCCACCTGGCAAGAAAAGCATAAAAAATTGCATTTCTTAACAAATTGTCTTCTACCTACATCGCATCAAAACAATTTGTTTGTCACTACTAAATTTAAAGCTTTTATTGACATTCACCCTGTACACAACATGCAAACTTAAGACCGCTAATCATTAAAAAAAATGAGATCACCGTTGTTTTCTGTGCATCATTTTGTATTTTTGGCAGAAACACCCTCTTTCCACAATGTATTGCAGGGTAGCCATACCAATTGTGCAGGAGGTTGCTAATCTTTTTTTGGAGTTAAAAAATACTATCTGCACAAAAATACACATAAGACCATGTGTGCAGAGAGTACATGAAGTTGAATTTTATCTCTGATTAGACTATAACTCTAGTTGCACAAGTTTGTACACATGATCTTTGTGGAATGAGAATTTTTGCAAAAAAGATGACCATTTTGATGCTAGTGCTCATTCAATATATTAGAGTGCATATTGAAATAACCAGAAAATACACTTCATTCAGATTTAAACATGCAGAGATCTGACTCCATGTCACCTTAGGTCTTACCAAGGATACGGTTCAGCAGACAGTTGCTTTAAATCAGCCAACGGAACACTCCATGAAAAATTTAGATACCAAATGAGTCTGGTGGCCGAAGTTGTATTTCCAAATAAAAAAATTACAACTCTCTGACAGACTTGCATTTACTTATTTAGCTTTAGCTCGTTGTACAAGGTTCAAACAGAACTGAACTAAGGTGACCAAGATATTACAGTAGCTATAAAAGAATAGAAATGAAAAACAAATTAAATAAAACCAGGGCACTTGGAAAATAACTTTCGGACAGTAAAAATTATCATTATTAGGATAAAGAAATTCCCAGAACATACTTGATGTTTCAAGATCTATACACCAACTCATGTTTACAAACAAACCGGAGCGCCCCTAGCGGACGCCACCGGCGCCGCGCATGCGCGGTGGACGGTGGGCAAGAAGCCCGCCGTCGCCCATAAACAAACCATTGAATTGCGTTGTTCTCGGCGTCAGTGGGAGTCCCCGTGCTCTTTTTCGCGTTGGAAATGTTGATTCTACGTCCTCCTAGCAATGTCTGGCTACTTGAGTGGCTTCAGCAAAATTAACGAGGCAAAACTTCGCGTCAATAATATGACGTGCGGCGATTCATTTCACGTGGACGCCGCTGAATGGGCGCTAAAGCCTGACTCCCACGATGAGACTCTGCTCGCTATTTTCAGTCGCGACGTCGCTCGGGCTGCAAAAGCGAGAACCGTAGCTGAGATGGTGGACGTCGATACTGAAAACCGCAAGTAGAATCGGGCATTACAAGTCGGTGATGGCCACTGGTAACAATGATCAACATATTCTTGTATCTACTGTTTACAATTAGCCTACTTAACCCAACCAACCTTCAAAAGTGTTTTGAGGCCTGCACTTAGTTCTTATCGCAATATCCGGGTCAACGTTTGGTTTACGGGCCGGTGTTGTTTAAACGAGCTGACGACAAAAAGCAGACAAGTTTGAAAGAGCAGATGACAGTTCGAACGCTTGCGCAATGGAGTGCGAGCAAGAAGCACCGCGGTCCCGCGTCAACAAACCGTTGGAATGTCACGTTGTCGGCGTCTGTGTAAGTCTGCATACTCTTTTTCGCGTTTGAATTGTCGATTCTACGTCCTCATAGCAATGTCTTACCACTTTAATCGCCTGAGCGAAATTATCAAGGCTCGTTACACCGTTAAACTTTACGTAAATAATTTGACGTGCGGCGATTCATTCGCATGAACGCCGCAGAATCGGCGCCAAAACCACGATGAGATTCTTCTAGCTATTTTCGGTCGCGACGTCGCTCGTGCTGCAAAAGTGTAGAAGGTAGCGGCGATGATCGACGTCGATACTGAAAATCGGAAGCGGGAACAGACCAAGCGTAACAAGTCGGTGATGGCTATTGGTACCAATGACCAACATCTTGTATCTACTGTTTACACCGAGCCTACTTAAGTTTTTTGAGGCCTGCCATTACTTCTTATTGCAATCACCGGGTCAAAGATTGGTCTACGGGCCGCTTTTGTTTGAACGAGCAGACGACAAAAAGCAGGAAAGTTTGAAAGAGCAGACGAAAGTTCGAACGATCAGGCGGCCGTGTGAATTTGAAGACGCACTGAATCCGTGGGTGGTCCGGACAACTTGGCGGTTTTGTCTTGTTCATGTTGGAACAAAACAAATACATCTGGTGAAAACAAAGTGTTGCCCGCGCAAGCAATCGTAGTTCGACAGCGTCTGGTTTGCCCTTTTTACTGCTACTATCCACGTTCTCGGACGAAAGCAGGGGGCAGAAACACATGAAAACTGATCTTGAAACCTTTCCAGACTCTCTTAGTACAGCCCCCGTCGCAGCATTTTGACGAGAAGGCAGGTTTTTTGTCCGATTTCTTCCAAAAAAACACAGGAATGCTTGTCTTGCACGGCGACTTCTGCCCACCGCCCCAGACCGGAAGTCGCCTGACGCGCCACCACCGCGGCGTGACGTAGGAGAGTTGAGTTCGTGTATACATGTAATAACTTCTATGTAAATACAATCATATGCCGAGGGAGATTAGTGAAGGGTTAATGAACACTGCACCTGAAATAAAAAGAGAAGACAGCTGCTGTAGAATACAATAGTGCAGGAAGTAAAGGAAATCACAAAAATAGTCTACAGCAATGATTCCCAAACTGTGCCATCCTGCGACTTACCAAAAATATAAAATATTGCGTTGTGGCCTCCCCTGCTACCCCCCCCCCCCCCCTTACCTTACTACCTGGCTTTTTGCAATGCCACAAGCTTTTCGATTTCAGTGCATGAACAGTAACACACAAAATTGATGTTGAAATTATATTTGACAGTGTAAATCAGCTGGGCAACCATCACAATCAACCATCACAAAAAGAAAAAAAAAAAAAAAATGCAATGCTTATCAGCAGGAATGACGACTGTTCCTAAGGGCTGAAATGAGCTTATTTATTAGAGCTCAGTTTCTCAAAACGAGGGCAGAGTTTGGATACCGCATATCTCAGTTTCAGTTCAATGATCAGCTGCGACCCATATAGTATGTTTTTATCGATGCACCCGCAGACGAGCCAAGTTCACATATTTTCAATTTCTAGAGCACCCCCCCTCTGAATCTCATGTGACACACCTTGTGGTAGCGACTCACAGTTTGGGAAACACTGGTCTTCAGTAACAAATTAAAATTAAACAGTAAGAAAAACAATGTCAACTGCTGCATCAAGTCATTCTTGTAACTGGAAAACATCATTTGTACAGAGGTGTCTGTAAACGTCTAAAACAAAACCATGCTGTGCCACCCAAACGTAAAAAGAGAAAAAGTCATTTATATCTCTTTTTTAAATGCAGTAAAGAAGAGATTCAATAAAAAAAATCTCAAAACCCCTGGCAACAAGCTAAAACTACATGGTATATTCATATTCATCTCCGAACCATCACAAGAAAATTTTGGCTCCACACAAAGCATTACTAATTTCCGTTTGTTTATCTATTTAATCAAAACATATACTTTACAAATGCAAAACCCATTACTTTTTCCCCTGACAATCAAATCTTGTACAAAATACCTTATGCAGCATATAAACTGCAATGTGCAAAATTGTTTTCTTTTAAGTGACGTAAGTACTGTAAAATCCCGAGCGAGCGCCCACTCGAAATTTGGAGATAGTCATGTAAAACTGGAGGAGGGGAGCTTCTGAGGTTGACAATATGTAAAGATAAGTCCTTCCGTGTATTTGCCAAATGTTACAAAATTGAGGGGTGGGCGCTTACCGTGCAATGGGTGGATGCTCTGCATTTTACGGCATACCGCAGAATGCCTCGCATCCTCCCATTCCACACTAAGCGCCCATTCCCAAATTTGTAAGATCTCAGAAAAATGCACAGTACAGTGATGTAAAATTGATGACCGGACAAGCGCCCATCCCTGATTTTTCGCGATTATCTCTAAATTTTGAATGGGCGAGTCAACTTCACCAGGGAGGGTAAAGGGGACCGGTCAGGATGGTGACGACCGATGATGATATTCGCCCGATGCAAGTCCCCCGGAAAGTCGAATAAGGAAAAAAAACTAAAAGTTGTTCGATCCCACTGGACACATTACGACGTTGGTAGGTTCATAATGGCCAGTGTGACCACGTTTATTTGAAAACAAAACGACAAGTCAACGGTAATATACAAAAATTCCAAAATTAAAACCCCATACTTTAGTCCCCAGTCTCAAGAGCCGAATTCCCCGAGAATCCTCTCGGCAGCCCTTTTCTAGACTCGTAGAGGCCTCCTTTCCCTCCAGAGATGGACCAATCACTTCAAATTTCACCACTCCCATGTGGTACACTGTTGCCCAATGGTCGGCGAGCTGTCAGCCTGACGCTCCAACCCCCAAATCCAAATTCTGTGTAGAGTCGGTTTCTGCAATTTTCTCAGACTAGCTGGCCCCAACAGCTAAATTATTACATCGCGCAAAAAGCGACAATTTTACACTAAGCGGCAAAACCCTCTATATACAGGCACACTCGGTTAAAAGCCGCGAGCACACGTGTTCTCCCCGCACCTCCTCTCGAAACCCCAGACGTTTCTTAACGACCGGGGTCCGACTCTTTCATTTCATTTCATTTCATTTCATTTATTTACTCTCAAGGCCGAAGCATTACAGAGAGGAGTGGTGAAGCAAAAAAAAAATACAACATGAACATAAACACAGCCGGGGGATTACAAAAAATGGTTGCAAATGGCACTTTTGAAACGGTCGGTGTCAGTGATTGAAGCGATGGAGGCGGGGAGGTGGTTCCAGTCTGTGCAGGTTTTGGGAATGAACGAGTGGAAGTGCAAATTGGTGCGGCTGCTTGGGACGCCAACCTTGAACTGATGGTCGCTGCGGGAAGAAATGTACGATGGTGGCAGAAAGAGAGAGTCACTGAGCAGAGAATTGAAATGATAAACCTTATGAAAGAGACAAAGACGATATTGTTTACGACGCAATGAAAGATCGGGTAAGTTAAGATTAGATTTCATGGAAGTGACACTGGCAGTTCGAAAGTAATTTGAGAAGATGAAACGCGCGGAACGGTTTTGAATGGCTTCTATTTGAAGAATAATGGAGTCAATATGAGAGTCCCAGATTGATGATGCATATTCAAGCTTTGACCTCACTAAAGTTTTATAAAGTATGAGTTTCAAGTTAGTTGGGGCTAAAGAAAAATTACGCCGTAGATAACCAAGTGTGCGATTAGCATTACTAGTGATGTAGTTGACATGATCTTGCCATGAAAGGTTAGCAAAAATGATAATGCCAAGATATTTGTAGGACGAAACTTGCGTTAGGCGAACACCGTTAAGTAAGTAGTCACATGGTAGGATGTAATTTGAATGACATGCAATTCTCATTGACTTACATTTAGCAGGGTTAAGTTTCATTAGCCAGGTGTCACACCAAAATGAAATGTTATCGAGGTCAGACTGAAGAGCATGATGATCAGCAGGTTCCAGAATTTTGCGATAAACAACACAGTCGTCAGCAAAAAGTTTTATAGATGAAGAAATGCAGCTAGGTAAGTCGTTAATATAAAGAAGAAAAAGCAAGGGCCCTAGCACTGACCCCTGCGAGACACCGGACGTTACAGGACAGCGAGGGGAGTTATGGTCATTGGCGGTTACATATTGCGTGCGATTAGACAAGAAGCATTCTATCCATTTAAAAATATTAGGGTCCATGTTAAGTTTACTTAATTTATAGAGGAGCAGACTATGACAGACACTATCGAATGCTTTAGAAAAGTCTATGAAAATGCAGTCAACAGTGATTAAGTGATCTGCAGCAGAGAATAAGTCGCTAGTAAAGGCGAGTAGTTGAGTTTCACAGGAGTAATTTTTTCTGAAGCCGTGTTGATGCATACTAAAAAAAAGAATTAGTTTCGAGGAAGGGCACCATATGACAGTATATGACATGTTCCATGAGTTTGCACGGTATACTGGTTAATGAAATGGGTCTATAATTATTGGGACAATCAGTGTTACCTGATTTGTGCAGAGGAACCACCTTTCCCACCTTCCAGTCGTTCGGGAGTGTACAGGATTCTAATGATTGTGCAAAAATCTTCGACAATATTATAGATGAATACACTTCGGTGCTCTTCAAAACTTTGGGGTTAATGCCATCACCACCTGGAGAAGAGGAAAGCTTCATATTTTGAATTAATTTCATTACGCCTGCCCAGTCAATAACTATTGGATCCATCGGAATAAAATCATAAACCGGAACATCGGGAAACATACATGGCGTGCTGTTAACAAACGACGATGAGAATGCAGAGTTTAAAACAACGCAGCAGTTTTCCCTAGGAACGACCGATTCGCTATCCGTAGCAAGTTCAATTGGTTTCCTTTCACTTCCGCTCACAACGTGCCAAAACTTACGCAGATTAGTTTCCAATAGCGATGAAAGGGTTTGATTAAAAAGAGTATGTTTGGCGAGAGACAGTGCACGTGCGTACTCATCCTCTGCACAATGATAAGCTGCCCATCTCTCTGGGATCATTGATATCTTGGCTCGTCGAAAAAGGCGCTTTTTTTTGTTTGATAACCGTTTTAATGTTGGTGTATACCAAGGTGGACTGTGTATTTCTAATTTTACAAAGGAGTATATAACGGCTAGTAAGCTCAGTTACTTTCGATTTAAACATACACCAATTATCCTCCAACGATTGCTCAGAAAAGTTTTGAAGAAAATCTGATAAAAATATCTCAAGTTCATTATTAATCCCGGTGTAGTCAGCCCTACTATAGTCTCTAAATACCTTTGAAGCTGCACATTTGCGAGGCGAACTGTTTGGAATATTAAATTGAATGACGGAATGATCGCTTACACCTGGAAAAACTGAAAGTGATTGTACAAGATCTGGATGGGTAGTGAATACTAGGTCAAGGACAGTGGCACTTGTCGGGGTTGTACGGGTTGGACATTTCACGAGCTGAGTCAAGTTAAAATCCGAGCATGCAGTAAGAAAGGAATTGCACTCAAGAGAGCCGAAGCTTGCTACGGGAATAGGTGCGTCCCAGGAAACACCAGGGAAATTAAAATCACCAAGAACAAAAATGGGCAATGACGGATATGTTACGTGTAATGTATTCAAAGCATCATATAGATCAGAAGAAAATCCAGAAGGTGAATTAGGGGGGCGATAACAAGCGCAAAAAATTACATCCTTGTGGTTCAGACGAATGCGCACAGAAGTTAACTCTAGGGGCGAGGCAAGCGACACACCAAAAGAAACCAACTCGTCGCAAACCGCTATCAAAACGCCACCCCCAGACCGAGTTCCCCTGTCACACCTGTAGAACCGATACTTCTTTTGGCAATTTAAAATCTCACTATTATCTACTTTTGCGGATAGCCAAGTTTCCGTCAAGACCACTACATCAGCAAGACATGCGTCAATTAAAGTTCTCCCCGCGGCTGCTCGAAGCCGCCCGCGCGTGGGGGCGGAAGACACCCAAAAATGCAAACACAAACATAAGCAGATAAAAAAAAAAAAATACATTGCCGACGCAACTGTAGAAAGATAGACTTTTCTAAAACAAATCTTACTTATTTCTAACAAAATCCTTCGTTACTTAACACCTCCCCACCAAGAATGTTGCAGTACACTTGCTGTTCGCGCAACATCTGTTCCCCCTTTCCGAGACAGACGCGTAGCATACAAAAACAACAACAACAACAAAGGAGCTATACCCCTCGCAAAAAGACCTTTTGGGTGACAAAGAAAGCAAAACAAAAAAAAAAAAAGCCCGGTGAGACCCAAACTTGCACGTTCCAGATTCCACCATGACCAGTAATTATACAAAAGCAGAAAAAAAAAAAAAAAAAAAAAACTGTGGCTGCACACAAGCAACTCCAAAAAGCCACCAAAAAAAAAAAAAAAAAAAATGCTTTACCTAATTTATACTTGAATCTGTTTCTCCAGACCTGCGCGTTCCAAAGAAAGAGCTCGCAAACCGTGCCGCAGGTCCCCGAGCCAACGCTCTCTCTGGTCATGGTGAACCTCGGAGAAAACGGGAAAGGGACTCACCCACTGTTGTCTGGCGACATCCAATTAGCTGCTCCTCCAGTCGCCGCCACCCACTTGCCGCAGTGTCCCCACTCAGCCTAGCGATCGTGCCTGTCGTCTGGAAGCCTCGGTCGCTTCTCCGTTCACCGAAAAGAAGAAGAAGAAAAAAAAAAAAAAAAAAGAACCGCACAATTCCCCGGCACCACGACGAAGGCAGCACTGCAGCGACGATCTCGTCTCTCCTCTTGAGGCTTGCCCCGATCTTCTGTCGCCGCTCGCTGAAGATGCTTCGCCGGTCCGCAGGTGAAGCCACAGGTCGTCTGTTCTCCGACGTAGATGACGCCCAGGACCACCTGTCAGCTGCCACCACTCCTTTTGGGTAACTGTACCCTCCCCTCCCCTCCCCTCCCCTCCCCCCCGGGCTTCTCGCGTAGATATTATTGCCACTGTCCTCACTCCAGCAGGAGCGAGCCTTGTCCGCCGTCCAGCAGACGACGACCCTTGTCCGGAATCCAGCAGACGAAACACTTGTCGCGTAGAACCCAGGTACGCTCCGCCTACCCCCGTTGATGCCGTCGTTTTCGCTCACCGCCCGTCGCAGGAAGTCAGCAGGATCCTGTCGACTGCGCCACCGAACTACGCCAGCCAGCCCCTGCATGCAAGTGAGTGCATGCAGGGGCTGGCTGCATGCACTTACTTGCATGTGCAAGTAAGTCCGGGGACTTGCAGATGCAAGTCCCCGGAAAGTCGCATAAGGAAAAAAAACTAAAAGTTGTTCGATCCCGCTGGACACATTACGACGTGGTTGGTTTACGATGGCCAGTGTGGCCACGTTTATTTTCAAAACAAAACGACAAGACAACGGTAATTTACAGAACTCCCAAAATGAAAACCCCATACTTTAGTCCCCAGTCTCAAGAGCCGAATTCCCCGAGAATCCTCTCGGCAGCCCTTTTCTAGACTCGTAGAGGCCTCCTTTCCCTCCAGAGATGGACCAATCACTTCAAATTTCACCGCTCCCACGTGGTACGCTGTCGCCCAATGGTCGGCGAGCTGTCAGCCTGACGCTCCAACCCCCAAATCCAAATTCCGTGTAGAGTCGGTCTCTGCAATTTTCTCAGACTAGCCGGCGCCACCAGCTAAATTATTACATCGCGCAAAAAGCGACAATTTTACACCAAGCGGCAAAACCCTCTATATACAGGCACACTCGGTTAAAAGCCGCGAGCACACGTGTTCTCCCCGCACCGCCTCTCGAAACCCGAGACGTTTCTTAACGACCGGGGTCCGACTTCTCCCCGCGTCTGCTCGAAACCGCCCGCGCGTGGGGGCCCCAAAAATGCAGACACCAAACATAAACAAAAAAAAAAAAAAAAAAAAAATTCCATTGCCGACGCAACTGTAGAAAGATAGACTTTTCTAAAACAAATCTTACTTATTTCTAACAAAATCCTTCGTTACTTAACAGGGCGCTTGCGCGGTGTTTTACGGTAAGTATACAGTAACTATGATGTTCCCTCTCCTTTCCAGGGACACCCTTTGTTTAAAACTTTTCCCGCCAAAAAATCCCCAAATCGAGATTCCGACAGGCCGCACCGGTTCTGTAGAAAATGGAGGATTAAATATTTAAAAACCTCTCGCGTAGAATGTGTACCTGAAAGAGGGTTAATTTCGACAGTGTTGCAGAGTTGGCACAAACAAATAACCAGCGGTTTTTTTTTTTTTTTTTTTTTTTTTTTGGGGGGGGGGGGGGGGGGGGGCAACCAGCGGTTGTTTTTTATACTTCCCTGCTGAAAGGCTTTCATTAAAGGGACACTGACCCTCCCCCCCCCCCCCCCCCCCCCCCCCAACATACACACACACTTTTTTTTTTTTTTTTTTCAAATATTTTGCCAGGCGATTTTGTATGGTGTCGGAAGACTGCCCTCTTAATATTTGGCTACAGAGTCATGTATATTTTTAATCAAGTGGAAAAACGCAACTGCTCGAAACCGCAACATGTCCACGATGGCTTGGAGGAGAGAGTTGCTGGAAGTCACGGTGGCTGTCGCTCCCTACCAGTGTTGCGGAATGGGCACCCCCATTCCATTCCGGGGAATTAGAGTTTTCGATAATTCGATTCCTTTCAACTCCTAGGAATGGGGACACTGGGCCCATTCCCACTCCCGTGGAATTGCTGGATCGTTCCATTCCGTTCCTCTAATTCCTAAACGTAAAAATTGGCTCTTGACAGCTACATTGTGTTGCCGGCATAAGCGCCATAAAGCTGTCATTCGGTGAAACGTGGGCGTTCGCTAAAACGTCATTCGATCAAGTGAGTGCCTCCCGATAGGTCCATATCACGAGAGCGAATGACATTTTAGCGAACAGCGACATTTGAGCGGATCGATGTTTTAGCGAATAACGGGGTCGCGCGTTAACCCATCCGTCGCGCTGCGCTTTAAGCCGCTTCGCGGCGACAGTCTGCGGCGGCTCATTACAAAAACGTGAACTCATTTGGCCCACCCGAAAACGCCGCTTGGCGGCGTCCGACTATTCGCTAAAGTGTCATTCCGTGAAACGTGGGCGTTCGCTAAAACGTCATTCTAGTCAGTTCGGTTACGCGACAAGAGCGGTGACGACAATCTACTTCACCTTACGATGGACCGCACCAGACAGCACGAGAGCCATCGAAACCTATCCAGTGCCTTCTGAGTGTCGCGTGACCCGGGGGCGCAGCAACGCGCCTCGCGTGTACTCCCGCTCACGGTGCTGGATTGCCTGGCGTGACTCACAGCGTCCGCAGCGGTCCATCACAAGGTGAAAAAAAAGTACGCAAGTCGAAGGAAATAGGGAGTTTTCGTAGATCGTTTTCGCCGTCCCGCAAGGCCCCCCCGCAACCCGCTACGATAGCGGGAACTTCACAGTCAAGGCTACCGGCGCGCAGGCGCAGTAGCAACTTCTTCGTTGCGGAACGCTTAGCGGAGAGGGCAGCGCGGTCTACGAAAACTTCCTAAATGAGCGGGAATCCGCTAGCTCGCTTGTAACCCTAACCGGCTTGAATGTAAAACATATAACCCAAAAAAACAAGCATCGGAAGAAAGTTCAAGTAAAAGGGCGGACTTACACGTAAAAATGCAGAATAATAAAACAAATGTCGGAGCAAAGCGCAAGAGGAGAAGAGAGAAGTGAATCTCGCTTTGTTTTATTGTCGAAGCAAACCCACAGTTCGCACTTCAAAGGAGTGCGCGGGAATGAACGCGAAAGGCAGCAGGTTTGGCCCGCCTGCTAAACAACGCTCCTCGAACTATACGAAAACAATGACTGATCATCTTTCGGCGGCGCGCGAGTCAACGAGTTCTCAGAGCTCTGCGGAGTCGTCCCCCGCTCTCAGATCTCAGTCTGTGCGCGCGTGTATTCTCCATGCCTTCGTTTCTTTTGCTTGGTTTCTTGTTTCGCTCGCTCTCGCGTAACGCCAGTAAAGCCCGTCGCCTGTGCGAAAGGCGCCACCGCCACCCCCCCCCCCCCCCCCCCCTCCCTCCCCCGTCTACTCTTTGCTTTGACGCTTCTTTTTTGTATTGCATTTTTTGCGTATAAGTCTGTTATAGCTCCACGCGGGTTAGCAACTGGCTCGCCGACTGGCTCAAATTCGCTGACTGTAAACACTAAAGAAAAAAAAAAAATAGAAGAACCGGGCCCATTCCATTCCCATTCCATTCCGGGCAAAAGGCATCTAATTCCATTCCCATTCCATTCCCCTGAACGTTACCACCATTCCATCCCCATCCCATTCCGGGGTCGCGAAAATTCGGAATGATTCCGGAATTTACGATAAGGAAAGAGGGACATCTAAGACAAACAGACAAGACAGGCTTTCGACTTTGAACAAAACGTTTGCTGGCTCGACTTCGCGTCCTGAAGCTCGACGGGGGGCGTCGGGGAGATAGAGAGGGAGGGTGGAGGGTGAGAGAACAGCTAAGCGTGCATAGCAGAAGGGGGTTCTGCTGAGTGCCAATCGAGTGCGGGCGGAGCCCTCTTGGGGAAAGAAGGGAGGAGGGGGGGGAAGGGCGACGGAGAAGAGAAGATGTGCCGGCGGTGCTCTCTTGGGGAAGGAAGGGAAGGGGGGGGGGGGGGGGGAGAAGGAGAAGATACGCGAATTTAGACTTTTTATGTCTTTGGAGGAGCCCTCTCGCCTCGCAGGAAACGAATCTCTTGATTTCGATTAGAAAGAGAAAGGGATGGACAGGTTTGAGACTGAAGATTTGATATGTAGGGATTCAAGGATTTCCCTGCCGAATCGAGATGTGTGCCCGCCGAGAATTTTGGTTTTCGAGAACTCGGAAGGGAGCACGAGGGGCAGTCTTTTTTGGCGTGAACCACGACTGGATGGAAGGAGTCCGGAGAAGGAGACAAGATCTCCTTAGCGTGCTCCCGGAGACGGTCATTCACGCACCGCCCCGTCTGGCCGATGTACTCGGCCCCGCACACAAGTGGAATACTATACACCTTTTCCCTTGCGCAGGGCCGGAAGCACTGCGCGTGTTTTTTTGTGCACGTGGGTGGGGGCTCTGGGTTGGTAACTCGCCTGCACATGCCTCCCAATTTAAGTTTACATGTGAAAAGAACTCTGGTGCCGAATCGACGTGCAAGCGCGCGGAGTCGGTGTGCCGTATTGTAAGAGTACGGGATGCACGCAGGGCGGGCAGACCGGGTCCCGGAGGCAGCCTCCTTTGGCGGCTCCTCGACTGCAGGATGAGTTTCTTGCTGACGTTATCTAAAAGGTCCACCGGGTAGCCCGCCCTCCTGAGCCTGGTGGCCTGCAGCGACAGGCTCCCTCTGATCTTATGATCGCAGGACTTTTTGCACGAGGAGGAAAAGAGAGACTGGACAATTCCGGACATAACGGTTTTTGAATGATGGCTAGAGAAGGGGAGGGGCGGCGGCTGGTGTGGTTTGCCATCACGGTGCCGCGAGTGCACCTGTGCGCTCGGAAATGAATTGCGTCGTG